CAAATTAAAAGAGATACCCAAATTGGACTTGGTCCGTGAAAAAAAAAAAACACAGCCCATGCTGCTGGTTCCCTAACCGTGAGCCAGCTTCAGACTGGCTGCAGGGGTGGGCCACGGCTACTGTGCAGTCCAAAATGGCTGCAGGTTTAGCGAACCAATGGGAGAAGGGTGGAGCCCAGCAGCGTTAAGCTGCTGGCTTTGGACTAAGGCGTGAAAGAAGCCCAACAAAGTGTGCTGTTGAAGTTAGGCCGAACAGATGACGAAGCCCAACAAGGTTGTTGTTGGCTTCTGGTGTGAGTTGAGGGCTACAGGCCCAGCTCGCAAAAACATCCTAGGCCGAAGGCCTGGTGGTCTCGCACACTTGTAGCAAAGCCCGGGGGGTTGTTGTGGTCTAGAGGAAGCGGGCCTGAGCTGCTGGCTCGGCTAGGCTTCGGCTTGATTTTTCCCCTTTTATACCTTCTTTTTTTTTTTTTTTTTTTCTCTCTAACAGATTTTAGGGTTTGGAAAAACCAAAAATTTTCTTCTAATTTATTTCGATGCTTTGACTCACAAATTTCACATAGAAAAATTGCGTAATGCATGAAACGTGTGTGTGTGTGTATATTGACAAATATATGAAACATATACAATATATATCGAAAGGAAAATATAAACTTAGGAGGTTCATGCATCATGGGAAATGTTTTCATGCTTTATGGTTGTTTCAAATATCTTCCTTTATTTTAAGCGTACCTGATTGACAGAAAATAACAAAAGCCTTTGAATTTGTAGAAGATCTTTCTCGAAAAGTCAGAATTGCATCTCCAATGCGTTGCATCATGTTCAATACAGAAAAATTAAATTGAATCAATAGCCTGTAGATCAATTCAATAAAATAACAAATTAATCATAAAAAGAATGATTAAAACGTAATACTCCCCTGATTGAAGAATAAACTCTATTTAGCGCAGCGTTAAGAACGTGTTGATAACGTGTTGTAGGCATAATTTACTGAACAATTATGGAGGCTAGAGAGAGGGAGGTGCGACACATAGTGAGAGAAGAGAGAGATGTGTAATTGTGAGGTGTGTTCTTTTCCACCCATTGTGCATTTATTTAGAGTAGCAGGGAAGGTTAATCCCTTACCCTAATAGGATTTCAACTCTAATAAGATATTAACTACTAGGATTTATACAATCATATTCTTAATCTAATACGACTACAGCACATACTAGTATATATGCTGATATACATAGTACCTACAAATTAGATTGTGTTAGTTAACACAGTTAACTTGTGATGGAGGTAGAAGAAAAAATTGAGATACGAATTAGGAGCATAAAAAGAAGTAATAATATTTAATTTTTAGATTTTGTCCTAAAATTGAGTAAACGATAAAGCTATAAATAAGGAATGACATTTATCACAATTTGATAAAAGATAATATAAAAAGCTGAAGCAGATGACCAGTGAATATACCTAACCCAATAAGGTGGGCTAAACCCTAAACCCCAAGAACGATTCACAAAATTAGACTTAGATCAAGTTTACTCCAACTTTTTAGTAGTATCAACAGTATTTGGCTACAGTACTCTCTGTTGGCTAGGCATGGAATTTAGGAAAAATGAGAAAAGCAGAACAGAAGAACAGAACCCATTAGCCATAGATATAGGTGACGATCCAAGAAAATATGACAGTAACAGAACACGCTTAGCAATCAAACAACAAGCACGACAGAAAACGAGGATCATTGACTGCCGGGATTACTATTCCACTATAGAACAAATGTAAAGAACCCCACCATACAAGACAACATAATGTACAAATTCTGCCGAGTTATCAAGAAAAGCACAACAAGAGCCAAGCCAATAAAAAATTTGTATGCCCCATTAGCACCGGAAATGGTCGCTTAGGGTATACTCACCGGCATCACCGACTACGCCACTAGCGGATCCAAAGCCAATGACGCACTGTCATAGGATATAGTGAAAATACAATATAAGTTTAGAATACCGCTGTAATAACATTACCCACTACCCAACGTAGATAACAGAACCTCAAATACAAAGACTTGACATAACGGTCACACCAAAACAAATTTCTAACAAAGGCACCGAAAGGGTCCGGTATTATCAAACGACATCAATCTGCCAAGTGAAACCAAATCAGACAACAAAATTTGGACTTCCAAAACAAAGCTTGTATCCGAGGCAGTGGACATGAATGAGAGATTTCCCTCGTTAAAGACTATTATCAACTGCAGGTAAAACAAGCTCGGACTTCATGGACAAACACATTCGCAGATTTACAACAAAAAATGCGAAAAAAAATATATCCGATTGCATAGCTTCTCTTAACACCACATAGTTTTTACATGATGAACAAAAGAAGCAAGGAATTAAACAGAAACAATGTGTAATACACTGCGCGGCCTTCGTTGTGGCAGTTACAAACAGAGGAAATGGGACAACGCCCCTATCTTCGTCGCTGGTAAACTTACAGAGGTACAGTTTTCTCAGTGACACATGCCAATCCCTTCATCAACCTTACAATCTTCGCGGCATCATCCAGATAATACTTGGCTTTGCTGGGTTTTTGGCAGACTCTGCACGCAAATACTTATGCTCTGGGAGCGATGGATGGGCCTGATATGGAGCTTGTAATTACCTCAAACATGTCTTCATCAGATCGATCATCCCCTATGCAGGGAACAAAATCTGGTGACATTTCCCTATCTTGCATGGAGGAAAGTAGACGTTTCGCTACAAGTCCCTTATTTACACCCTGCATATACACGAGAATGTTACAGCTAATCGAGATATTGTAATTCCAGTTCAACAATCTGAGTCAACATATGCATTGCGTATAACAGTAGGTCCCTTTGTTTCAAACTTCGTGCTTCACATGAATCCATATAGTAGACGATGCCTCTTATATTTATTTATTTTATTAGATGCATGAAGTTGGTCAGGAATTTATCACAGGATGCTTCATAAAACACTTTCAAATGTATTCTGTCGTGATAGACATATCAGGAATCAGGATATACCAAAAGGCAAAAGTTCGCAATTCATACGAAGAAAAGTTTTCACACCTATGCAACCAAACCAACTAAATAAGCATGAACAATGTGAGTAAAGAAGCCTCGACTAATCATTAATGCTTGGGGAAACAAACAGAGAATACTTCATCTGTTGCCCCAAAGGGCCATAATCTTTTCCAAAATTTACATTTGTTAAAAGCTTAAAAGTATATACTACCTATTCCACTGATATTCATATCCAAGAATAGCAAGCCTAGCCCAGCTTCCATGTCCTCTAATCATATGATTAGTGTGCAACACAATTTCGATCGTGATGTCTGAAGAAGCTGGGGCTTCTACCATAAAGTTAATTGATAATATGAGGAGTAACTTAACTTTTTATAAGCTCTTGCATTGCATGGTTTGGTCCCTCACCGATGTGGGACTTTATCCTCACCTTCTCAAAACGTCAATGTGTCATGCATATATAAGTGGAGGTGTTGCCCATCTAAAATTTAATTTACTCTCCATGCTCCAACATCAGAAAAATATTGGCTCACCTCCATATAAAATCCTAAACCTGCCCCTAGAGGTGGCAAATCAACCTTGAGTTATTAATTAGTATCGTTAAGACCTATTTAATTTGATATATATCACCATAATATAGAGGTAAGATTAGTAATGGTTATGATAGTATAAGGTGAAATCGAACTAAATGAGTCTTAATAGATATCCATTAACAACCAATAGATTGATTTGACACCTCTACGTTCTAACTGCCCTTGCTCATCACCATTGCCACCTTCAACCCAAGTGGTTTATCCATATACAATCAATTGCTAAAAGTCTGTTGATAATATCATAACTGTGATTCAGTTACATACCTATTTCAAAAGGCTTGAATCCAAAATCTTCATTCAATTAAAAGAAAGTGGCAGTAGATCATCACTTAATTTGTTTTGTTCTGCAATGAATGTATAACTTCTAACTACGCGGACTAAGAAAATTGTATTATAGCAACTTAATTAATTAGACAAGAACACATATATAGTTAATGCATCGAGGCCTCTTTAACCCAAAAAAAAAAAAAAGAAGCATCAAACCCTAACTAATTAGCTAGTAAATGTGCCTTCGTCTATGATCACATCCTATATAAAAATTAACAAGTGTTCCGGAGTATTTATGCTCTGAATTTTCGTAACGTTAAATTTTTATTTTTGTGTTTTTTAAGAAAAAAAAAAATCTAATAATTAAAATTTACAGAATATTCAATAATCCTGGATACTATAAAATCCCCAATCACAAATCTTTCTTTCTGAGTACTTGTACTTGTATTTGGTCAATGAGTGACGCAACAAAGTAGAAAACTCAAAGGTGTAACAGTATATAGCAGAGTGTTGGGATATCGATGAGTGAGGGAGACAAAAGAGAGATTAAATAATTAATGAAACCTCGAAAGATCATTTTCCCTTCTGGGGCAGAAGTACTTGTAAGAATGGAGAGAAAAAAAGATGATTGCAGAGAAAGCTCGATCGACTTTCCTTCTGGGGCCTACGTTAAAAGATTGCAGGGAAAAAAGTATGTTCGAAAAAATCGAAAGATTTCCTTCTGGCCCGGCGGGCGTAAGTACGTACTTAATTAGAAAATGATTGCAGAGTAAGCTCGATAGATTTCCTTCTGGGCCGGCATAACTACGTACTTAAAAGATGATTCCAGAGAAAGCGCAAGTGCCAGAGTCCGTGCGCCTCTCCCGACTTTTATCATGATTTATGCATGCACGATTGCGTATCCATGCAAACAAATAGTTGATTTGATTCGAAAATACCACGGCAGAATCAGAAAGCACGCACGCGACTACAGTAGTTATTGCTTCTTATATATTCATATATTTGGTTAATAGTTGACCAAGTTCTAAGGGTTGGCTGGCTAGCTATCTCTTCTGTCTGTTGCGTTTTACACACACACACACACACACACACACACAGATAGAGAGAGAGAGATGGAGGAGATTTACAGTGGTGAGCATGAAGAGAATAATGGTGTTGTTAAGGTGCGCAGCACTAGAGAAAAAGGTGAAGGTGATATAGTGGAGGAAGAGGAGGAGGAGGAGGTTCTAAAGAAGAGGATTGCAGACCATCCACTGTATGGGCTGTTGCTGGAGAATCACACCGACTGTTTGAAGGTATATATATGGAAAAATTATATACATATATATGTATATCAGTCCTTTTTCAGTTTCCCTTGTACAGTTTATTTGTGGTTGTGAGAAAGATAAAATACACCTTAAAAAACAAAAAAAATATCTTCACAATATGATGGTCAAATCGAAGATGTGGAAGTCCTAAAAGATGAATCACGTGAAGATATTCCTGAAAAAATAATAATAAAAATATATCTTCACAATATGATGGTCAAATCAAAGATGTGGAAGTTCCAAAAGGGTTGTCCATTTTGCATGTAATTACTGTGGGCAGATGGGTTAGGCCGGATAGTTATAATTAAGGTATAATTTAGATACACATGCTAATCAAGTGGTTGCTAGGTTAATGGTTGGACAGCATGCAACACACACACACACACACACACAGACACTCTCTCTCTCTCTCTCTCTCTCTCTCTCTCTGGTAGCTCACCAATATCGATGTCAATATTGTCAGGTGGGTTTGGGTGAAATTGGAGATCAATCGGTGATAAAAGCACTACTACAACGGACAATAACATTGTCAATACCAAGCAACTCATCAAGGACGCTACCAGCAGCGATCCCAATTCTTCAGACCTTGATCAGTTCATGGTATATATACCATTATTTTCTAGAAAGTGCATCAATTTTGTGTGTGCTATACGAATTATTGATCGAAGTTAGCCTATCTGATATATATATATATACAATAATTATTGGCAGGAAGCGTACTGCAACGGTCTAAACAAGCTCAAGGAAGCCATGGCGGATCCCATGAAGGAAATGACATCTTTTATCACTGCTATGTATGCTCAACTTGAGGACCTCAGTGGTTCCAAAAAAAACCATTAACCACCCGGCCGGCCGGCGGCGACCTGGCTATATCGTCTGCGTTTCAGCCAAGGAATAAGAACATGCAGAGAGAGAGAGGCTAGCTACGTTAATTTGACTGATGATGAACTACTCATGTTAACTGATGTTGTGTCTCTATTACTTGATAAGTTAAGAATGTTTCTCCCATGCATGAGATTAAAGTATTCGTGTTAAGGATGTTTCTCCCATGCATGAGATTAAAGTATGCGTTATAGGTAGTGTTATTCACACATTATTTTTTACCTACCAGACATGATTGTTAGTTTTTTGTTCATTAATCTTCTTCAATTCATGCAATCCAAAAGTTAAAACTTGAGAGAAGTGTGTGGATAGCACCACCCTTTCCTATAAGACAATGTGTTGAACTATAAACCTTTGAATACTCGAATTATAGTAATAATTAGAATAAATAAAGTTCATATCAAAGATTATTAATCTTCATTCAACGATAATAATCAACTAAAGGAATAACATAATCCAACTATTTACCACTCCATCAATCTTAAGTAGAAACCCAAACAAGAATGGGGATCTTAGAACAAAAAAATTTAAGAGTGCACAACTGGACCCTTGAAAAGAAAAAGAGAACATCACTTGATCGGGGCTGGACTCGGCCCATTTTGTACTTTCCACATGTCAACATCTTAGTGGTCACGACACACAGAGACAATTATACATAAAGAATGAGAATCTTCTTAAAAATCTTTTTGTGAGAATTCAAATAATCATTTTAATCGTGTTTGTTTATCATAAATTATGTTGTTAATTTTTATCAGCTACTATTTGTATTTAAATAATTTAAATAATTTTTAACTATACAATTTACGATAAATAGACACAATTATAAAATCACTGTAAAAAGAATCTGGAGGCGTACACACATAAAAAGCATTCGACCGCACTACACAGAAACCGGAGAGAAAGTCCAGTTTGTCTTTCAAATTCAAAAAGTCCCAGGGACCATCTAACCCCGTCGACACGGCAACTCAAAGAAGCAAAGATCGAAACTTCGTCGTCATAACATTACACTTTCCATCCAATTCCACTGAACTCCTCCTGGGTTTTTACGAAAACCCAAATCCCAAATAGAATTCAATTTAAAAATCTTGGTTTTCTTGAACATGGTGAAATCGGCGGAGAAGGGCGGAGGAGATGGGTCGGGGCCGGCGGGGTCGGTGGCTCCTTTTCTCAGAAAATGCTACGAGATGGTGGATGATAAGGACACCGACTCCATAATCACGTGGAGTGAAACCGGCGACAGCTTTGCTATATTGGACATGGCCCAGTTCTCGATTTCAATGCTGCCCAAGTACTTCAAGCACAGTAACTTTTCTAGCTTCATGAGACAGCTCAATATCTATGTGAGTTCATTGTTTTCTTACCTTTTGATTAACTGGGCAAAGTTATTTTGTCTCGGTTATGCATTCATGGGGTTTTTCTCTTTGTTTAGTTGGCTTTTGGAATTGTGCTGATATTTGTATTGGGGTTTTTGCAGACTTGTTTGTTTGTTAATTGTTTGTTGTTGTTGTCGTTGTTGTTTTTGTGCCAATATAAAATTATTGCACGTTTGTAAATTGTAAACAACACGAGGTTTCACTTTCAGAAGCCAATTTTCTTTCCTGCGGATACGATCAAGTTAGCTCTATTTCGTTTCGACTGTGAAATCATGCTCGATTCGTTTGTTCAATGTTACCCTTCATCTATAAAGTGTCTATCTTGCAAGTATTGCTAATGTTGGGAGTTTTGCATTTTTTTTGGATTTCTTTCAAGTTGAAGGAATTGAAAGTTTTCTGTGGTTAAAAATTTAAGTGGCACTCGAAACGATCTGTCTAAGATGTGATCGTTCTGTTTCCCAAGCTTCATCCATTTCCCTTCTTTTTGTCAATCTAATTTAAAGGTTGTGCTTCAATCGCAGTTCCCATATATGCTTTCTTGACTGAATTCGGATATATTTGAGAAAATGGCACCTATTTAGATGGATTGGCTTGTAATGTAGCTGTGATAGACTGAAGTGTGAGACATAGTCAGATGGCTTTTCTTGTTTTACTCTTCAAATGTATGCATTGTACGTGCTCTATAAACACCTCTGTGTATATCTGCATGACTGTAAATGTTTTGTTACTTGATTTGTCAACCGATATCGAGTATTAATGAATCTTAATATTTCAGGGCTTTAGAAAAATAGATTCAGATCGTTGGGTGTTTGCAAACGAAGGATTTATTCGAGGTCAGAAAATTTTGTTGAAGAATATTGCTAGGAGGAAACATCCACAGGGCACAGATCAGAAAAAAGCATCACAGCAAAGTCCGGATAGGCCATCTGAAAACATTAGTGAAAATGGTCTATGGAGGGAAATTGAGAACCTGAAGACTGATAAAGTTGCTCTGAAGCAAGAATTGGCAAAGCTTAGGCAGCACCAGGAAACTTCGCAAAATAACTTGCGCCTCTTGAGGAACCGCCTTTGTGGAATGGAGAAGAATCAGCAGCAGATGCTGTCGTTTCTAGTGATGGCCATGCAAAGTCCTGGGTTTCTGGTTCAGCTTCTTCAGCCAAAAGAAAATAATTGGCGAATTGCTGAAGCTGGTGATATGATAGAACAGTGTGTAGATGATGATAAACCAGTGGTTTCTAACGGTGCGATAGTGAGGTACCAACCACCGATGATTGAAGCCCCAAAGCATGTACTCCTACCGAATTCAGGCTCAGAGAAACAACCGGAATCTGATGCTTATCTAGATGGAATGGAAGATTCTGTTGTGAATGCTGATTTCATGAAAATGCTAATGGATGAAAGGTCAAGCCCTGTAGAAAATCACGACCCATATACCCTACCGGATATATCTGACACTGGTGCATGGGAGCAGCTTCTTTTAGCTAGTCCTTTCTTGGAAAATATTGAAGGCACAAAGGAAAATGGTGAAGAGCATGCTGACACTAGAATGGAGGTGGAACCAATAGTATCTGATCTGGACAATTCACTTGATTTTGATTCTTTGGTCGAGCAAATGAAGAAATCTCAGAACTTTGCATTGGAATCAACAGTTTATGGAGCTAATATGGAGAGCTCTCAAAACTTGGAATTTATAACTGAACACATGGGACATTTGGCCTCTGACTCTAACATGGAAACGAAATCAGGAACGTAGCAGGATAACTTCTGTGTAACTTAGGTTTTTTCTGTCGGCTCTAATGACAGCTTATCGTGAACACTTTTCAGTCCATCTTCCTTCCACAACTCAGTTTTAACAAATGTGAGTTGGTTCTTATCCTCCACATGTATCATATCATAATGTGTGTCATTGTTCTTTTACAATGTCGTTGGAAATCATCTTTGCATTCATCGAGGCTACCTGGAGATTGGAAGTAACGTTATTTGTTGCTTGCTGTACGCTAAACTGTATCGACCTACGTCTTCTTGATTTTGCTTATTGACAGAATTTCGTAGGCTGGCACAACTTGGGATGATCACTTAACAGTTTTGCTCTGCTTGTACATTAATTTTGAGTGTTCTTCGTCAAATATAATAGCTACTTGGTTAAAGTGAGTTGAAGAATTGTCTGCGCCACTGCAGTTTTGCGCTGCTTCCATGTTGTACCTTGTAAATTCATGCGGACACCAAATGCTGTTCCAATTTTTCGCAATACAAATTAACACCTATTTCCTAGGTATTTACGACGTTTTATGTGCTACTCTTATTAGCTTTCGATGAAAAAGTGTAAGTAGGATCGCAGGATGAACTTGTAACGAAAATAATGAGCAACATCAAAATTTCCAAACATGAAAGCGAAGCATATGAATATAAAACAATCTTAACAAACATGAAACATGAAGCGAAGCATACGAACGTAAAACAATCTTAACAAAAGACGGGGTGTCGTATGATTTTGTAGGACAAATGTGTTCATGGATGGATGGCTTTTGCCAAGCCAAACGCAGTTGCGGATGCTATGGCTCCGATGAACGCAGTCTGGAAGGCACTCGAGAAGGGTTTGTTATCGGTGAAACGGCCCTTGGCGTACCCAAATATCAGCAATGCCAGCAAGGTTACGACAACTGACGCAACCAGAGCTTCCCTAGCCCTCGGAAAGAAGACGTAAGGAAACAAGGGTACTGCTCCTCCCAAAACGTAAGCAACGGCAATGGTGAGGGCGCTGTTCAAGGCTCTCCTTGGATCTGGCTTTTCCAATCCCAGTTCAAACCTGAATCATCACTCAAGTTAAGTTAATTATAATAGATGAAAAGTTATGAAATGACATGAAATATTTGGAGCTAAAGGAAGACTTGACACAAAACCAAAAACTGTAACATTCTACATGACCTACTACCAAAATTTCATTGGTGATCAATAACCCACCAAGTTTCTTACATGCAGAAATAATCCGTGCATAACGAATTTGGTATCAATAATGTCAATGTTTATATCGATATCATTGTGTCGGTAATATGTGAATATGTTTTATTCTTAACATGTTCATTGTACCAATATTATCAACAATTTATCGATATTATATCGATAAAGAAGTGTCATGTCCAAAAAAGAACCCGACTATTTTAAGTGAAGACAACTGTATGCTATATATGAAATAAAATTCTAATTAGTTAAAAGATCAAAACAACTGATATCCTATCAGAATAGCAGACAATTATTCTGAGAAGTGTGTGTGATATTCAAAATTTCAACACCAATGAACAAAAGATTTTAAGTGCTTTTTATCCATTCACGGTGTGAATGACAGAATGTGATGGATGACCACATGGGTTTTGTCCATGTTTCTAAAGAGAAGCCAACTTTTGACTAAGCACTTACACTTAACAAAAAATATACCCCCACCCACCGACTCGTGCAGTTCACAGAATATCCACATCACGAATTAAGATTCTTTTCATATTTTTGTGTCGTAGTCAACACATCCGGAAATCCGGATTTTCAATTTAAATGTGCAGCCTCTACTAGCCCATCACTTCACACACTTCATACAAAACAAAACTTTTAAACGGTTCAAATTTTCTCTTTCTTAGACGATTCGAATTTTCGAATCTATCTACTCTGAACACAGAGATTCGACGAGAATTTCAATTCCCTCATCACTTTACCTACTTCACAAAATATTCTTCTCTCTTTTTATGAACAAATCTCCGAAGAAAAAGAAAAATGTCTTCCTATCATTTTAAGTTTTCTTAAGTATATACATTTGACTTATTAGAAGTCGAATTTTTTTAAGATCATATTAAAAACTTAGGTACAAAGAAACGAAATATTACTCTATCCAACCAAGCTAACGCATGACTCCAGAATTTAAGCAAAGTAACTTACTTCATCATGAAATCGAGCCATGCTTGGGGCTTCTTCCTTAGAGAATTCACGACAGGTGTATAATCATGTGCCTCTATTCCATACTCCGCCAATATCTCCTCCACTTCTGCCGCCTCTGCAATTACCCCATAATAAACAAAAACAAATTTCACTCTCTATATATACAAGCAATAATAGTTTAACTAATTTAAAATATAAACTATTAGAAAATAGATTTCAACTTAGAGCAAAAACGGAGCACACCGCTCCATTAACTTGACTATGAATACAATACGATAAAATGATATGAAAAATCTTTAAAAAGTAAGATCCAATATGTCATAGATATGGCAGTTAAAAATATATAATAATATATAAAAATGAAAATGATATAATTTAGAACATATTTTGATAACACAGGAATTCGATTTCATCTCCGAATTTAAGTTTATTTAATTTGTTGGAGAAGAAAAGTTGAAAACCTAATTCCCTTGTTATATATATATATAGAAGAAGTGTGAGTTGTATTCATAGTTCCAATAAGGGGCAAGCTCTTCATATTTATCAGATTTCACTTGAAACTTTGTCTCCTATTAAATTTCTCTTTTTTAATTTCTTATTTGAAAGTATAAAAGTATCCAAAAAACATGATACGTGTAACCCTTGTATGGGATACATGTATCCATCAAGTCAAAGACGTATTTGTCGACTTGATACATATCCGATGGGTACTCGAGAGTATCTGACGAGTATCGTAACTAGCGAAGTATCAAATATGTGATACGCCACCAAAGTGAAGTATCCGTGAGGTAACCATAATATAAGGTAAACTTTTAAACTAACTGATAATTAAATTAAAAGAGGAAAATAATCCAAATTAAACCTGCATCAGGATCGTTTACAATTTCTTCTTGTTCTCTCCTCAGCTCCCTCACGTAGTGATCCGATTCACTTTTTGCCGCCAGATATCTGCGCAATAAAATACCAATGCATCAAAATATTACCAAACAAGCTGTGATATCAAAGGATGGCTGAATCGAAAGAGTACCCGCCGAGTCCCATGGAGATAGCACCGGCTGCGACTTCGGCGATGCCAGCAGTGAGGACGATAGATGACGTGGCATTGGCTCCGGACAGTCCCGCAGCGAGAGCAAACGGCACAGTAAGACCATCAGATACGCCGATGATGATGTCCCGGACGATCTCCCCGGCGGTGAAGTGGTTCTCGGTGTGTTTATTCAGCAGTGCTTGCTTCTCGGGGTCTAAGTTGGTCTTTTGTCCGTCATTAGCCATTGATAAAAAAATGAAATAGGGTTTTGAAGCCGTTTAGATATCGGAGCGTTAGGTTTACATTAGTACTGTAATGGTTTTTTATTTATAGACGACGAGATCCGGAGAGGATCCCGATTCACATTCACAGTGTACGTAAGGCTTGCGTGGGTTTTGCTTCTAAGGTACATACTATTTGGTTGCTCCTTCAAATAAATCAAACAAAATTAATAATTATAATGGAACAATAATGTATAAGATACAAAAAGCGAATGGTTATCATCTCTCTAATATTTATGAGTCTACTAATAACCAAAGATTTAATGATAATTTTTCGAAAATAACCAAATATTTGTTTATAATTTTTTTTATATGGAAAAATTAGTATTCCTTATCTAGTTACTAATGTTCATTGACCGAAACCTTATCAGTTTTTAGATTTTGATCAAAGACCTAGCATTAATGTATTAATGAATTTACATGTCAGTTACATAATGTTTTAAAATAAAAATTAGAAATTGATTTGGGTTTTAATGGTCATATAATTAATTTTCCATTCAAAACATTTTGAAAATGAAAAAAAATAAAATGAGAATAAGTTTGTACCCATTGATTTTGTATGAAAAGATTTTCAATTTTTTAATCTTAAATGTACCCATTCATATAATTTTTTATTTTTTCTAATCTTATATGTACTCATTCTTAAATATTCTAATTTATTATATATAAAATGTAACCATTTTTTATATATAAACTCAATTCAAGTTTTTTCTTATCTATTTTTTAAACTTATATAGGTACTTTATATTTCGTTGATTTCAGAATGTATTCATGTCAAGTTTAATGAAGGAAATTTAATAATATTATTAAGCCTAATATCTGTTATTTCTTTTGTGCTTTTGAAAAATGTCCTCATGTTTTGGTACAGTAATTTTTTGGTTAATTTTGATGAAGTACCCATGTTTTTGCATACACACACACACACACACTGGACAGTATAGTTTATCTTTTATCATATATATATTTTTTAAGATAATCTTTTTAATCCTATAAATTATGGGTTTATTTAAAATCTCATTAATTACGGTAAACAACTACAAATTTCAATTTTTAATTAAAAATAAAATAACTTACATAAAAATACATTATAACATTAATGTCAAGGACTTCAATAAAAAACTGAAAACCACCAAAGTTTTAGTTAAAGAACATTGGTAGTTAGGGACCGTATCCACATTCTCCTAATTTTATCTATGTGTTTATTAATAACCAAAGATTTTTGCTTGTCTGGTGGGCCGGTTGGAATAGGTTGTGACCAACTAACATAGACTTGAGTCCACTCCTTTGTTTGTTGTGTCAAAATGTGAGATAGACATGAGTGAACATGATGGATTATGAATCCATAATAAAGTGGTTTATCTAACTTATCCTTATACATAGTTACAAGTTATGTCTTATATATCACTGCCAATCCAATTCTATCCCTAAATTTTAATCTCATCTAACTCACCGAATGGTCCTCAAGTTTTGACTGGATTAACAAACAATGGTGACGACCAAATTATTACTGAATAAACCTTGCTTGAATAAACCTGCCTGCCGGCCTTGCACACAAAAATCCAAGACTTTGTACGCTTGCATGCATAGTAGGGCATGCAGGTGGTATCGCATGCATATGGAGACGGAATTGGGAATCTAAATTAGGAAAGAGAAATGCTAAAGACTCCATCAAAATAGAATTTTTCGTAATGTTTTATAATATTGACACGTAAATTGATATTAAACTGTGAGGTATGAAAGAGAGTATCCTTAGCATCAGAAAAACAGTCGATGCAATTATATTGGTACAGACAGTTGTAGCCTTTACACGTTCAGTGGGGAGTATTACTTCAGAATCTGTGGCTCTGAAGATTTATTCAGAAGGTCTGCTTCAATTGCACCACATGAAGGTCTGGGAATCTCAGGTCTTCATCCCTTCTAATGGGACACTCGACCCACGTCGGAAAGACCCAACGGAACTGGGAGTTTTATACAGTTTTGATGTGCAAATGCAGTTTTAAGGTTAGGATTTCAGAAAAAACAAGAAGAAAAATATGAAAATAAAAGGGAAAAAAATCCTCTCGAAGAAGAGGGAAATATGAGAAATAAAAAAGAAAAAGCATGAGGGAGAACTTGATCGAAAAATGGCAGCCCAGTAACACAGTTTTCTGCTTTGGTTCTTTCATTTTCCTTTAATTTTTTGCTTTTTTTTTTTTCAAATTTCTAGTCGAATAAAAATAAACACTTGTCAATACCAAAATACAGGCAGAAGGTTGGTAGAGAAAATATTGGCACACTAGGTCTGAACTCCCCCAAAAGAATTTAAGAAAAGAGAATAAAATACAGAGTTGTGTTCAATTTTGATTATCTGTCACTTCAAAGGCGTGTGCGCAACACAGGCCTCGATGACCACATTGACATGGACGTAGTCGTGCAAGTTGAAATGATTGGCCCCCTTTTTTACGATAAAATTTTTAAATCCTAAAATTTTGAATTTGAAGAGAAATGTAAAGAGTAATTTTTTTCAAAAAAAAATAAAATTTTCGTATATTTTTGTTCACTTCATATTTCTTGCATTATATTTTATAATATTAATATAAAAAAATTAATGTTAAATTATGAAGTAACAAAAAATTTATAATAAATGTCACTTTAAAAAACTCCCTGCAACATTTTTCTTCGAATTATTTTAAAAGATTGGAACAAATCGGAAGGCAGTTAGCAATTCCGATGACTCCGAATTTTATAATGCTGTTCTGCACTTATTTCGATATTTTTTTTTATATAGTATTCTGACTTTTTATAATTTTATGATACGTGTTGTTATCAACTTTGTATTTTAGTATTAGTTCTTAAATACATTTTGTTCATTATATTTTGTATTAAGGCGTGTGTCTGCCACAGGCCACTTTCATTGTTTTTTATATTTTATTGTTTGATCTGTCACTTCAGAGGCGTGTATGCACCGCAAGCCACGATGACCGCATTCACAGGCATCTAGCTGTGCAAGTTGAAATAAGTTGACCATTTTTTTATAGTAAGAATCCGAATATTTTAAAAGAATTGAGAAGAAATCGGAATGTATTTACCAATTCTGATTACTTTGAATTTTTTATCCAAATTTTTTCAAAGTATTCTGATCTATTCCAATAAAAAGTAGTAAGTAAGTAAACTGTCGTATTCACAAGAGAGACGGACGAAGTCGCCAACTAATTACTGTTAGCAGCTTCTGTTTATTCATTCCTTGAAGGAAGTGTTAAAAGCACAAAAAAAAAATTTGTAAAGAGTGAGCAAAAAGCAAATACCAATGAAAACAGAATCTAAAATTTCAAACAAGAAGTCTGCAAGCAAGTAGACTTTTAGGGTAGCAAAGCTAGCTCTTCGTATCATTGGCATTGGACAGGTGAATCCGGCTACATTCTATATATACTAAAAGCCGGTGGATTGGCACTGTTCATTAACAGTGCCCATCCGGTTTTAACCCTCATTTTATTCATGGTTTTTTGTACTTTGGTGGGATTGTGCAGTAAATGGTCTATTTTGCCCTTCTTTCATTTTTGTTTGCAGCTGTTGCTCCCGTTTGAAAGGTGCTTTTGGTGTTTTTGGTTGAGCTTTGGCCACGTTGCGTTTTATAGGAAAGATGCCAGAAGCATCTTCTACTTTTTCTTTTCCTCTTCGTTTTTCTCTCAGTCGTTCCGTTTCTCTTTAGTTTTCCCGTCTGTCTTTTGATTTCGGTTCCGATCGGATCTTCTCGAAGGTGTTTGGCGTTTTTTCCCCTGTTTTGCACAAACGAATTGCTCCCATTCAGGTATGTTGATTCATGTGTTGGTTTATTTTCTGTTTGGTTAGGAAGAAAATTTTATGATTGATTGTTGTGAATATGGGCTATTCGGCTTTTTTGCCCAGCGTTTTCTTTGTTTTTTCGTGCTCTACGTCTGGTTGTTATCTCTGATTTTGCATTTCGGTTGCAGGAAACATTTTTCTTCAAGTTTTAGGGTTTTATTCTTCCTAGCTTTTTCTGGGTCAGGTATATAATTTATCTCTTTGGTGTTATTTTTTTTTTGTTTGTGCTTTGATTTTTCCCTCAAACTTAAAAAAAAAAAAAAAAGAAAAAAAAAAGAGGAATACTGATGATTAATTTTTGGGTTTTGCTTTGTATGTTTCGGTTTTGTACTGTGAGTGAGGAATTTTTTATTTTGGTGTTTTAATTAAGGGCTAAACATTTCCAGCTATACAAATGGATGATCATGATTAATTTTTGGGTTTAATTTAGCTGTTGATTATTGTGGATGAGTTGCGAAACTTCTTTTCGATTATGTGATCTGTGCCTGTTATGTTTTTTTTTAATTATTTTTGCGTTTTAACTAAAATCGAAAGATTGCCGACGAATGGATATGGCTACGGTTATATAATTTATCTTTAACCTTTTTTTCATTTTTTTTGTGTTTTAATTAAAATTTAAAAATTGTTGAGGAAGGATATGGCTGCGGTTTAAGGTTTAGACTAATTAATTTTATTGTTGTTCAGGTTTTTTTGGGGAAATTTTTGGGTTTGGTTGTTCTAATTATCTGTGGTTTGATTTTTGTCCGGAATTTAAAAGAAGAAAAATGGCCATGATTAACTTTTGGGTTTTCTTTGTCTGTTCTGCATTTTAAAGTTTGAATTATGGATTTTTTTTGTATGTCAATCTTTAAATGATCACTGTATGGATTTTTTTTGTTTCGGCATATGCCCTTATTGGAATTTTGTGATTTGAGAATTGTAGAAGTTAGTAGCAATTCAAAACCCGTTAAATGGCATGAGAATTAGAGTGATTTGAAATCGGCGAGCAAGTATATACTAAAGCTCAGCGGATTGGCACTGTTCATTAACAGTGCCAATCCGGTTTTGCTCCTGATCTAACGCACAGTTTTCAGCCCTTTAAAAGATGCTACATGAATTGGCGATTTTGCCCCTTGGTAGAGTGAGTCTACATATGGGAAGGTGCTCGAACCCTCTCTCATTTTCTTCCGTTGTTTTTGGCTTTCGTCTGCTCTCTGTTTCTCTGCTTTTTTGCATCTTCGATCTTCGTGTTTCCTTGCTTCTCTGTTCATGTTGATCGTCTGCCGTCCGAAGAGGTGGGTTTTCTGGCTGATTGCGGTGTTTTAGGTGGTTTGTCTATTTTATTCTTTTTCTTTTTTCTTTGATTAGGAAGAAAATTTGTAGATCGATTGGTTGGTTGGTGTAATATTGAAGTTTTTTCGTATTGCATTGACTGTTTCGTTGATTTTTTACTGTATTCAATGCCGTTGTCTAATGTGAATCGGTTTTTTCTTGCAGGAAATATTGGTGTTTGAAGAAATTAAGGCTTAGCAAAGTGTGACTACCTATGCTTGAATTAATGTTGAAGTTTTGAGCTCAATTAGATTAAAGTGCATAGAACATCCATAGAAGTGGTAAAAGTTCTTCCTTCAATCAGCTTAATAGTAGTTAACATGTATGCTTACTTTTCAATTATTAAGAAACTGTACCTTCCAGTTGTATGAATCTCTAATGCATCAACATCATTTCTTCTGAGAAGTTCAGAGGTTGCATAAGCATCTCTTATGTACGAGCACACTCTGCTATTATGAATTGGAGTGGTTCTTATTGTCTTTAAGTGATTCTTATCACAACAATTAGGGAAGAAATCCCTTTCTTTTAAATTGGATTATCCCAACCTGCATAAAATTGAGAGTCATGTTGATAAAATCTTTATCTTTATTATGCTGTTATTAAAAGTAGCCTTGAAATATTTTAAATTCGTTTTATATTTATTTGAGAAGTAATTATTTCTTTGTTTGCAATCATCTGCAGATTAATTTTGGTTGAAAAAAAAAAAAAACTTTGCTGCATCTCAGTTCCTATTCTAATTTTAACTGCCAAGTTAGCTTTCAGCTGTCAAGTTTACAGACAATTGATTGTGTTTGTAAGTGCTTTTCACTTTGTTAATATTGTGTTCAAGATTATATTTCTTCCTTTTGTTTGACAATTGTCTGATTGTAGTTAATACTGTGGCTCTAAATTGTATATCAATCATTCTTTTCAAATATTTCTTTACTTAAGTTATAATGTTGAGCTACTTTATGTTATAATTTTATAACTAGATAGTACATTATCATAAAAATAGAATGTTTTGTTTTTTTTTATCAATGTTGTCTATGCAGTATAGTCTTTTTGTTTTTTTTTTTCCTTTACTCTGTATATTACCTTTTTATCTGAGAAGTTACTTTTAATTTTAGCTTATACATTTTAAACCCATCGGTTCCACGTTGTGTTAATCATGATTCTTGGAACCATAGATAGTTTTTATTTTTGTAGTTAACTGTGTTATCGTTTTTAGTAAAACTGTGAATATCATAGATAAATTATATGTAAAATGCTTTTTTATAGTCATATACTGTGTTATTAAAAAAGTTAAATGTTTGCAACAACTGTCAATATCACGGAGTGATATTACAATTTTCTATTGTGATAACAATTTTTGTTTTAGTTAACATATACATTTCTTTGAACATGTGTATTTGTTAATTCTGTGTCACCCATTGTTTAAAAAAGTTTTAGGGCTCCTATTTTCTCACGATATATTTGATAATCTAGCCATCAATTTATATAATTCATGTATTAGTAAAAATCAATTGGCTTTTTTTATTTTTTGTAATTTGTGTTTCATTGAGAATAAACATTGTTAATACTGTTGATCTTTGCAGTTTCCACTCAGCGTGGATAAGACAAGTAAGAAGTGATACTCCCATTGAAAACTTATCTGCAAAATAAATTTTGCTCTGTGGTTACATGGTGCATTAGTGCATAGTTTCACAACTGAACTATAAGAAGTAAGAATGTAGTTATCTTATTACTTTGTTAATTTTTAAATTTTTTTAAGTTCTATTTATTATTTGTTTTATATTTTGTGTCTTGCCATTTGTTGCTGAACTAAATTCTATTGTCCATTGTAATAATTGTTTGTTGTTTGCCTTTTTGAACAGATTGGCTATCGTATTTTCTAAAATTTCAATTGTTAAAGGTGAGCAATTTTAAATTTTAAATTATTTAGTTTTAAACTTTACTTTTTTTAATCTTCTTTTTTTTTTTATAACTTTTTTTTTCCAGTCGCATTTTAAAATTTGGGTGATCTATTCTTTTTAATCATTATAGTATATATTTGTTTAATCTTCACATTATGTGTTTGTTGATACTTCTTTTTTTCATTTTTTGTCTTTTTTTCAGCGTGGTTTGCACTAATTTGTTTTCAAATTTGTATTACAATTTGATTCCATCATGTCAAAAAGACTTGCAAATGCTTTAACAATTAATGATACAGAACACGAGAAAGAGTTTGTCAATAATCAATCCTATGCTTTATCTGACTATGACAGACAATTTAAAAGAGTGTGTAGAATAAGTTGTATACAAAACCATGTCGATGTTTTCTTATCTAAGAGTAGTCCAATTATTCAGGAAAACTCAGCCATTGACTACCAAGATGGTACTAGCACATCTTCTGTTCAACAAGATGTTGAAAACATAAGTTCTTCCAATATCAATGAATCACATTGCATGACTGTTGTTGAAAAAAATGTTCTCTTAAGAGATAAAAAGGGAAAAAAGGTTGTCAATGTATTAGACCAATCTACAAAAAATACTCAACAAACCCTTGATGATCAGAATAATAATCTTATGAACAAGGGTCAAGCATTTTTTCAAAAGAATAGAAAAGGTTAGTTCTTAATTTATGCATCTATTAATTTGATATATCATGAATTTCAATTTTCTAATTGCCTAAATAATATTACGCTCATTTTGTTTTGTTTTTGTATCTTTTTTGTAGGAGTTGTTAAAGAATATGCGGACTTAGGAGATAAAAGTTATAAGTGTGTTCATTGTGGTGCTTATTTTTGGCTAAAAGAGTCTCTTAAACCGAAGTGTAAAAACGATCTACCTGTTTTCACTCTTTGTTGCCAACAAGGAAAAATTAAGTTTCCAAATCCAAAACCAGCACCACCATTTTTAGATTACTTCTTGATCCAACTAAAGGGCAAAAAAATTTATCATTTCGACAAAATATTAGAACTTATAACTCAATGTTTGCATTCACTTCAATGGGAGCCAAAGTTGATAACTCAATTAACAATGGATCAAGCCCTTATATTTTCAAAATCAGTGGTCAAGTTTGTCATTTAATGGGATCTCTTTTGCCTGTTGATAATGAGTCTCCAAAATTTGCTCAATGTATGTCTATGATACATATAATGAGGTGGAAAATCGACTTAAAGTTTTTAATTCCAATGGAAACAATCAAAGCCTAGATCCAACAATTGTAGAAGGGTTAATCAAAATGTTTGATGCATCAAATGAATTGGTTAAACTTTTTCGAATGGCAAGAGATAAATTTGAAAACGATGCTCTTTCTTCATTAAAAATGACTTTGCTAGCAGGCAATTAAATGATAGCAAACAATATGAGCAACCTACAACTGATGAAATAGGTGGTTTGATAGTTGGAGATATAGGATTGTATGATTCTAATCGAGATATTATTATAGAGTCTAAAAGTCACGAATTAAAACGTGTAACAAAGTTGAACCTAAATTTATGTCTCTGCAATATCCAATTCTTTTTCCATATGGTGAAGATGGTTATAGACCAGATTTAAAATGGAATGAAAATTATAAAGGTAAAAAAACTAAAAGACAAAGAATACCAATGAGAGCTTTCATTGCTTATCAAATTCAAGAACGAGAACCACCATTAAGTACATTGTTAAGAGGAGGAAGACTTTTTCAACAATATTTGGTCGATTCTTTTGCAACACTTGAAGAAGATAGATTAGATTATATTAGACAAAATCAAAAAAATTTGAGAAGTGAAGTTTATAAAGGTATATGATGCATTCTCAAAAGGTGATACTGATGCAAATAATTTGGGACAAAAAATTGTATTACCTGCTTCATATACTGGAAGTCCTAGATATGTGATAAATAATTATCAAGATGCTATGGCTATTTGTAGAGAATACGGACATCCTGATTTGTTTATAACATTTACATGTAATGTTAAATGGCCAGAAATCACAAGAGAGTTTGAGAATAAGCCAGGATTCAAACCTGAAGATAGACCTGATATAATTTCTAGAATCTTCAAAATGAAGCTTGATCATATGATTGATTTCATCAAGTCCGGGAAGCCTTTTGGAGAAATTCAAGCAAGTAAGTTACTAAAACTCATTCTAGCACTTATTTCAAGCTTTTTAGTTTTCATTTATTATAAAATTTACTTTTATTCTTTTTTTGTTTTCATTTTTTCCTCATGAACAGATGTTTGCACAGTTGAGTTTCAAAAAAGAGGTTTACCTCATTCTCATATGTTAATATGGCTGAAACCAAATGTGAAATGTTTTTGCGCATCAGATATAGACTCAATTATTTCTGCTGAATTACCTAATAAAAATTTGCATCCACAACTTTATGAAACTGTTAATCAGTTTATGATTCATGGTCCATGTGGTTGTATTAATCCAAAATCACCTTGCATGCGAGAAAATAAATGTTCTAAAAACTTTCCTAAGCCATATAAAAGCGAAACAATTTTTGACACAAATGGTTTTGCTGTTTATAAACGTCGTGAAGATGAAGAAAAATTTGTGATTAAAAACGGTATAAAAGTTGATAATAGATTTGTTGTTCCTTACAATGCAGAGTTATTACTAAAATATAATGCACATATAAATGTTGAATCCTGTTGTCAATCAATGCTTATAAAATATTTATTCAAATATGTAAATAAAGGTTCAGATAGAGCACGTTTAGTTTTTCAAGAAAATTTGAATGATGAGATTTTAGCATACCTCAATTGTAGATATATCACCTTATGAGGCTGTTTGGAGACTATTTCAATATTTCATACATCATAGAGAGCCTTCTGTAGAGCGATTACCAGTTCATTTACCATTAGAACAAAATGTTGTTTTTACAGCTGATCAATCACTACAGTCAATCATTAATCAAAAAGCTTTTGAAAACACAATGTTAACAAGTTGGTTTGAATTGAACAAAAATTTTCCTAACGCACGTGAACTAACTTATGCACAAATTCCCACAAAATTTTTGTATGATGTAAAGAAAAAAACTTGGAAGCCAAGAAAATATAAAGCATCAATTGGCAGAATAGCATATGTACATCCTGCATCTGGCGAATTATATTATTTGAGAATGCTTTTGAATTTAAAAAAAGGCGCCATTAGTTTTAGGATTTAAAAACAATTAATGGTGTTGTACATTCTTCCTACCATTCTGCATGCAAATCATTAGGACTATTAGGTGATGATAAAGAATGGATTGAGGCTTTATCAAGTGCTGCACATATTGCATTGTCTACTCGATTGAGACAATTGTTTGTCACAATAATTTTATTTTGATGTAGCAAATCCTCAAAATCTTTTTGATAGTCATTGGTAAAACATGTATGATGACATTTTATATAAATTGCGAAAAACTTTTGCAATTCCAGATATGATTGTGCCAGAACATGAATTAAAAAATTCAGTGCTATTTGAATTAGAATTACTTTTTAATAATGCATCTACCTCTTTGAAAAAATATCATCTACCAATGCCTGATGCAGAAAAAATGTTAGAAATTCAAAATAGGCTTTTGAGAGAAGAATTAAATTATGATTGTGAAGAACTTTATAAGAAACATGCACTTTTGAAATCACAGCTTAACCAAGGTCAAAAACATGTTTATGATTGTGTTTTAAATGCTGTGAATGCAAAAAAAGGAGGTCTATTCTTTGTTTATGGTCATGGAGGAATTGGAAAAACCTTTTATGGGATGTAATTACAAGTAAGCTTAGATCTGAAGGCAAAATTGTTCTAGTTGTAGCATCATCAGAAATAACATCATTATTATTACTAAGTGGTAAAACAGCCCATTCTAGATTTAAAATCCCTTTGATTATTACTGATTCTTCAATTTGTTCAATAAAAAAAAAAACTCATCTTGTTGGATTAATTGAAAAAAGTGATTTAATTATATGGGATGAAGCACCTATGAATCATAAATATTGTTTCGAAGCATTGGATAGATCATTTTCGATATTTGTCAAATTCACAAGCTTTCGATAAAAATGTTCCATTTGGTGGAAAAACTCTTTTATTGGGTGGTGATTTTCGACAAATATTGCCTGTTATTCCTCAAGGAACTAAAGAGGATATAATAAATGCTTCATTGAATAGTTCTTATTTATGGCCATATTTTAAAATTTTTCATTTGAAAGAAAATATGAGATTGTCAAAAAATGGATTGAGTATTGAAGAAAAAAATAAAATTAGTTCTTTTGCAAATTGGATTCTACAAATTGGTGATGGACAAATTAATGATGCAAACAATGTGAATAATTCAATTGATAGGGATTCATCTTTGATTCAAATACCACAAGATTTGATAATTGATTGTTCTACAAATGCTATCCATTCAATTTTTTCTGCAACATACCCGAGTTTTGAAACTTTTTTTGACAATTTTGCTTATTTAAGGGAAAGAGCTATTATAACACCTCGAAATACAACTGTTACAGATGTGAATAATTATATAATTAATTTATTACCTGGACAACAACAAACATTTTTGAGTTATGATTCTTTATGTTCTTCAAATGCAAATGTTGAAAATCTTGAAATAATGTACCCCACAGAATTTTTAAACAAGCTTGAATTCAATGGTTTACCTGCACATAATTTGGTATTAAAATAGGAATGCCTATTATGCTACTACGAAACTTAAATCAGTCTTCAGGTTGTGTAATGGAACTAGATTAGTTGTTACTCATTATTTGATAGAATTATTGAAGCTGAAATTCTTACTGGTAATAATATTGGTCATAAAGTTTTTATACCAAGAATCACTCTTACAGCTACAGAAAATAAGTGGCCTTTCATCTTCAAAGACGTCAATTTCCAATTAGAGCGTTATGCAATGACAATCAATAAAGTCAAGGACAATATCTTAAACAAGTTGGTTTATATCTCTCCAGAACCTGTTTTTACACATGGCCAATTATATGTAGCATTATCAAGAGTGACATCAAGAGAAGGTTTAAAATTTTTAATAGAAATGTAGAGAGTAGTGTTAAAAACTGTACTTTGAATATGTTTTTAAAGATGTGTTACAAAATTTACAAGAAAATTAACCCAGTTCAGAGACTCTGCATCTCTCACTTTCTCATCTCAAAATCACTTCTCTCTCTTCCATCTCTCCCAATGTCTTCGTCTCTCGGCTTTCTTGCTCAATCTCTGTCGACTGAAATTTCGAGGTGATTTTCCAACCCTAAATTAATATATTCCATACCTTGATTTCATCTTAATTTATTGGGAATTGATCTACATATGTGTAGTATAGATAAATTTTTTCTTTAACTAATGTTATAGAATCCATGTCCTATTTAGAAATACTGAGATGGAAAAGGTTAAGGAAAAATTGCGAGGTAGAAATTCCATTATGAGTTCTCCGGCCGATTTGAGGTGAGTAGTACAAACTTTTATGTTAAATTGATTTGTTTTGGTTTTTCGGGATGCTTAATTTCATCTGCAAACAAGGTTGACCATCCAAAAGTTTCGGTTTTGTACCCATTATTCAATACTAGCTCAATAATCATAATGTTTCCTCTGACTTTGTTTATAAATTCTGATATATAATCATATTTTAGAGTTAGAGTTTTCTATTGGGGAAACTTAGGAACCGATTGTCCTACATCGAAAAAATAGCAGCAGCTGATCCTATTTAAAATGAATCTAATTGAAGAATTAAGGATTGGGCACCTTCTACAAACTACAGTAGTATTACTCTTGATGAGGTCTATTTCATTTCCTCTATGCTGTCTCAATCTTCATAACTCACATTTATGTGCATTTTTTGTCTGGTTCTTATTTAAAATGTATCTAATTGAATATTTATAACCAAAAGAATTAATTTTTCTAATTGCCCAACTTTACAGGTTTTGCATCATTGGAACATCAGGCCTATGTCATTGCTTTACCTAAGGTAGTTGAAATGTACTTACAATATCTTAGCTTTTAGTTTTTTTCTTCTTTGGCTGCTTAGAGATTATGTGTCATGAGCCTGGCCTTTAATAGTTTAGGAAAAATTTTGCATCTCTTTGAAAGCTACGAATTCAACTTTTGGGTTCCTTCAACTCAGAATTTATAGATGTAACATTTCAAGGCTCATGTTGGTATGAAATTGTATTCCTCATCCGTCATTACATTTTTTTTGACAGGGATTTCAGTTTATAAACAATAAACTGCATAAATTTGTAAAAGTCTACTTTTTTAGATGGTAAAATCTTAGATTGCCAATTGAGGATATAATTGCAATTTGAATTCAATCTGCTTTCCGTGCACATGTGATATGTATGTGTGCACTAAAATCTCCAAAATATAAAATTCCAATTTCATTCTCTCCCTTAACAACGTTATTACTGAAGAAATTAAAGAATATTTTCAGTTCAGAGTATGAGTGCTATATGTGTTTGTTTCATTCCTAAAAATTATGGGACATAATTATGCAAAACTTAATTGATGATCGTATGAAAGCTATAAAACATCTCTCTGTACAATTCTTTAAATCTGGTTCAGTTTTGTCTTAGGTATCCATACAATCATTATTTGTGAGATAATTAGTTCCATGGTTCAATTATGTTTTTTCCATGAGAATATTTCCATGTTGTAATAGAAGAATTGTCTAAAGTTCCTTAAACCTTTCATCTTTTATGTTTACCATAAAACAGATAACAATGCATGATAATGAATTACAAATTGTTTTTTATTTCTTACATTCAAATTTGGTTTTTATACTTTCTTCCTACGTATGACACCATTTTTCCATCGATGTCAACTAATTATTATTTATTATAATTAATTGCCATAAAACTTTTTTTTTAACACTTTATTTTACAATTTTAGGAAGGAAAAAAAAATTGCTAATTCAGCAAGGAGCTTACAGTGCTGACAAATACATTTTCAAACAATGAAGAGGCAAACATTCAAGGTATGTAAAATTAATTAATACTTTATTAATTTTGTTTTGTTAATGCTTTACGTTTAATTACAATTTTTTACTAAGCTTTCTCTTCAGAGGAATTAGCTATTACTAATATATATACAAACCATCTTCTTTTCACATGATCTAAATACATGACAAATTACTTGCTTGCATATTGAAAGGCTAAATTGAACATCCAAAAGTATAAAAGTAGACATTTCACTAGAGATATACCATGTCCACATATTTTAATCTAATATGTTCTTTCACAGATTTACAAAATATGGACAGGATTTATCTTTAATGGAAGGATGTCTGTTCTATACTTCCAAATGTTAGCCTTAAACCTTTTGCTAGACAAACAAATAATTAACCATGTATTCACAATAAGTTAGAAGAAGAAAGTATCTATATAAATTGGTAATAGTTAATTCCTCTGAAGAGAAAAGACGGAAATGATGATTCTTACTCCATATAATTAAACCTAAGTTTACCAATTTACGTAAATCTGATCCGTCTTAGATCGGCAACATTTAACTTTGTTTTAAAAATTATAATATTGCCAAATAAACTACTATTTAATCATAGCATGATTGCAATACTTTTCTAAGTCTTATATAACACTATCACTAAATATATTTATTGCAAAAGACATCAATTTTCATTTTTGTTGTACTAAATTGCAACAAACTTATATTTTCTGAAACATTATTCAAATTCTCATCCCAGGTATGCATCCAATTTCACTTACTCTTTATTTGTATAAATTAAAAATTACCAAATGCAATGGATAGTCGGGGGGCTAAGAATTCACAGTGTTAGTCTTTTTTTTTCATCTAAGGTTGTCTTTCAATTTTTATTTTAGATTTTTCCTAATTTGGATAAAACCCTAATGATTTCGTTTTGCTGTCAGTATATACATGCTTATTTAGAATCAAATGACACAACTTTATATTTTACAATTATATTTTGTTTCTAATAGCTTATATAAGTTTTTCTTCGTTTTTCCTATAACATCGTATCGTAACATGGTCTAATCATATTCAATATAATTGAACAAACTGTTATCGACCGGTTAATGCCAATTTAAACACTTCTAATAAGTTACAGCTACATTATTATCTCGAATTTCAACATCAAATGTAAATTGTTTTACTTCAAATATGTCGTTAATTATTAATAATCGTTTTGACGTGTTATATACTCACACTCATAAAAGCAGTTATCCTCTTATACATAATTCTTCACCACAAATTTATATCACTATTAAAACACTTCTAACCTTAATTTATAGTTACTGCAGTATGTTCTATGTGCACATCATTTTCTTCTTCAGTTTCTGCTGTTTTTTGTTCTCTGAGTTGTACATGTTACCGGTGTTCACAACTAAAATCAATTACACAGACTTGACTACAGGTATGCCGCAACTTACATCACTTTCTGCCAACACTCTACTTCTTTTTCTTATTATATTTTCTGTGTTTAAATAGCATGAACATACTAAAAACCTGTTAATTACAAACTATCCATTACAAGTTTGCATTGACTGTTTTCTTCTTTTATGTCCAATAGTTTTAAGACCCGCAGCAACGCGCGGGCACTATTACTAGTAACAACTATTACTATTTTCAAAATACTTTTAAGATTTTATAGTTATGTAGTATATTTTATTTCAACTTTTGTATTTTAGTATTAGATTTAGATATTTAGATATATTTTGTTTTTATATTAAGGCGTGTGTATGCGACATACCACTTACAAATGCTGAAGCTAAAAATACATTAGCTGACTAGACGTGTGTGAGGCACAAGCCTAATCCATACGCATGCCAATTTTTATGTGAGTTTGATTTGAGTGCTAAATTTTTCTGTAACTTCAAAATTTGTGTCATAAGAAATAAATTTAAGTTCAAGTTGAAACTAGAAATATAAATCAACAAACGAAATTAAAAAGTTTCATTCAAAACCATGAATTAATAAGTTACAAACCAAGAAATAACAACTACACCAATATATTACATTTATAATAATAATAATAATAATAATAATAATAAATCTCTGTAAAACTGAACCTACCAGGTTTTCTTACCAAAATCGAATTGTATACCTTCTTTCAACAATTATTATTTTTTTTTTTTGAGAAAGTACGATATTTATTAAGAGTACTAGAAACCGTAGAATGGGATGATAGTGTGCACACATGGATATATATTACTTGTGTTTACATTTTCTTTTTAAATAAATATTTTGGATGTATAGAAAATTAGCAGCATTAATTCATAGATAATGTAATATTACACAAAGGACCAATGAATTATCTGGTAAATAACTGAAACAAAACGATATGGAGCAAAATCTGATCATGCATGGATGTTCTTCAGTTCAGGTCTCCAGATTTTCAGCAATCAATAAGCTCAGGAGAATTCAATCTTTCATCATTAGAACCAAAATAATAAATTAAAAAAAATTCAAATACACACCAAAAATACTCAAAAAAAAACCCACAGCAATACCAGAAGCTCTACCAGCAAATAAAGATAACCCAAAAAACTATAAGTTCAGATTTGGGCCTCGGCCCATATTTTTACTTTATTTTTCTGGGCCTTTATTATTGATAATGACTCCTAATTTCATCATGATGGGCTTTATTAAAGTGAAAAATAGAATAACGGGAAAAAGAGAGACGAACAGAGAGGAGGAAGGAACGGGGGACGAGAAGGAGACCAACTCGCTCAAAATCTCTGCGCGGCGGTGGAGGAGGCAGACGACGCCGTGGCGGTTTCTGGTAAATTCTGTCTTCTTCCCCGCTACTTCACTGGTTTTCTTATTCCGGGGACCTGCTAACGTCGTCGTTTTGAACCGAATAGAGGAATAAAAGAAAAACCCTCTTTGCCTGAATTGGGGCTTCTCGTACTCGGTCGATTGGCATTGATTTTACTGCATTGTATTATCGAACCAACATATCATTTCTGTGAAGGAATTAGTAGGTTTGTTGTAAATTGTTTGCTGGGCTGCCAATTTAATTTGCTTTTGTGTTAATTTCTGCATCTAAATTTATGTAATTTTGTTAATTTTTTGCTAAAATTGTGCCCCGAATTTGTTTAAAGCTCATAATTTTATAATTATTTTTGTTTTTTTTCCTCTTATGGTGTTTCTTAATTACCCTTTTTTACCTTTCTTACCAGATTAATTGTTTTTCATCATGTCTTGGTGCACGATTGAGTCCGACCCAGGTATAGTTACATCTTTCTTGTCCATTTGGTACCATGTATATTAATGTTTGAGCGATAGTCTTGACGTGGAACTGTATAGTTCGTTGTTTTTGATATATCAATTGTACTGAAGTGAAACACATCACATGCTCTACGAGAATTGATATTTCTAGCAATAAGCATTATGGGGTCCATAAGTTTGGTTTTGGGAATGTGTTTTTGGGACCGTTTGAGTGATGAAAGTTGTGATCTGGCGACGCAGATTGATAGCGTATAGGATTTGAGTAATTTAGTAATGGTTAATACGCAGGAGGACTTCAAATTTCCAAGAAGCAAATTTATAATTTTCGAGAAATTGGAACAGCTGTAGTATACATGAAGTGTACTAGTTTTTTCAAGGTCTGCTTTGCCTTTCAGGGGTGTTCACTGAACTTATTCAGCAGATGCAAGTAAAAGGCGTGCAGGTACGCTTTCTTTGACGTCTTTTATGTCTATGACTCTATATTTATATTTTGTTTGGGATGCACTTATCCTAGTTTATAGTTGACGCCTACTATTACTGCTCGAGGTTAGGCTATAACTACTTCTTGGAGATGTCTTTGCTCCTTTTGTTGGTAGATTGATTATATCTAACACTTACCCCTTTTCCCCTTCTTGGCTATATCCAACTTTTACTTATCAAAGAAATTGTTTACTTTATTTCCGTTGGTATGACCTTGCAGGTTGAGGAACTGTATTCATTGGACCTCGATTCTCTGAACAATCTGAGGTACGTTAGTTTCTGTTTAAGATTTTATCTCCTGGGCAGATATCCTCATTTTTGTTGAAACAAATGTTTGAGGTTTATATCTATGTTATCATTGTTTTAGTTACTGTTTTTCCCTTGAAATTTACAGGCCAGTGTATGGTTTGATTTTCCTATTCAAATGGCGTCCAGGGGAAAAGGATGACCGCCTTGTAATTAAGGATCCAAATCCTAATTTGTTTTTCGCAAGCCAGGTTGGTTTTTTATTGTAAAAGTAGTGGTATATTTGTAAGGTCTTCTTATCAGAAGGTTTGTATATCCTCCCAGGTCATCAATAATGCTTGTGCAACCCAAGCAATCTTGTCCATCCTCATGAACTGTCCAGATGTTGACATTGGTCCTGAACTGTCAAAACTGAAAGAATTTACGAAGAACTTTCCACCTGAACTGAAAGGATTGGCAATAAACAATAGTGAAGCCATCCGTGCCGCCCATAATAGTTTTGCAAGGCCTGAGCCATTTGTTTCTGATGAGCAGAAGGTAGCTGGAAAAGATGATGACGTCTACCATTTTATAAGCTACTTGCCTGTCGATGGAGTCCTGTACGAGCTTGATGGACTGAAGGAGGGACCCATTAGCCTTGGACAGTGCCCCAGCGGGCAAGGTGACATGGAATGGTTGCAGATGGTACAACCTGTAATCCAGGAACGTATTGAAAGGTATTCCAAAAGCGAGATAAGATTCAATCTCTTGGCCATTATCAAGAACAGGAAAGAGATGTATACTGCTGAACTCAAGGAACTCCAAAAGAAGAGGGAGCGTATTTTGCAGCAGCTGTCTGCCTCACAGCAAGATAGACCAGCTGACGGTAGCAAGTTTGAAGCGCTGAACAAAGCTCTTTCGGAAATCAATGCTGGGATTGAGGGTGCAACAGAGAAGATCTTGATGGAGGAAGAGAAGTTTAAGAAGTGGAGAACAGAGAACATTCGCAGGAAGCACAACTACATTCCGTTTCTGTTTAACTTCCTCAAGATTCTTGCCGAGAAGAAGCAGTTGAAGCCGCTTATTGAGAAGGCAAAGCAGAAGGCAGGCAACACTAGATGAATGAGATACAATGATGTTGTGGTTAACTGTAGTGTGGGCATCTGGGGTTATTTTAAGTGTTGAGTTGTAAGTTAGGGTCAACCTAACCAGATTATGCGTGTTTTCGTGAGGTTACTCTCTAAACTTAGAAGTTATTTTGTTGAGACATTCCCTGGAATTGACTTGTTCACTTTTGTTTAGGTCAAGAAACATACATGTCTTAAAAAATCTGGTAGACATCATAGCTTCTGCGAGACTTCACGGGAGATTTTTTGTGGCATTCAGGCGGACATTGTTTAAATTGCTCTTAGACTGGCTAGTGAACTACCAGTCGCTACGGTTATATCCGCACTTGCGACTGTTGAACCGTATCGTATTGGAGAAATGAGAGTGATACAGTACTAGTACCCCCGTCAGCTGTGGTACTTATACTCAAAACTTGCCATTTGTACAGTTTTTTTACAGCTGCATTTAAAATTCATCATGCTTATATACAAGAACGAAAACAAACGCCACTAAAGCACTACGGTATAGTTGTATTTCTCTTCACTTGTAAGAGGTCTTAGGTTTAATTCTTACTAAAGGCGAATTTGAACTACATTAGACTAGCAGATAATATCGTTTGTTTGTTTAATGCAGATAATATCGTTTGTTTAAAAAAAAAAAAAAAAAAGGAGAACGAAAACGTTTAAAAAAAAAAATTCCGGAAGCGCCCACCGTGGGGCTCGAACCCACGACCACAAGGTTAAGAGCCTTGCGCTCTACCAACTGAGCTAGACGGGCTAGGACGATTAGTCAACCGTCATTAACATTAATCAAAAAGCAAAGCCTTATCCAAATCCTCTCGTTTTGGCGCCATCATCAACCGTCAACGTTTGATGGGTCGGCCTTCATATGCAGTTTAGATATTCAGGTAGTTGAGAGAAACAGAGACTTCCTAATTCAATTATTGAAATCAAGATTAAAGAAAATCAAACACATTTTCCAGATAGTCAATGGCTGACTGCACCGGAGGAAGACAAAAAGAAGGCTACTCAGTGGAGGCGACGGCGGCGGTGAGGAATCGGTTGTCCGGGCTCCGCCTTGACAGCACCTTCAAGTCTTCCTCCGTCGTTGATCCCAAGAACCCTACGAAAACATTGAAGAGGCGATCCCCCACCCAATCGCCGCCGGTATCCGAACCCAACGCCAAGAAAGAGAAGCTTTCTCTCCCTCCTACTCCTCTTCTCCGCCGCTGCATTTCCGACACTTTCTTTTTCAACCCAACTCCTCCGGCTCTCCAGTCTCCTCCGGAGCCTACTGTCACTGTTACACCGCCGTCACCACCACCACCTGCCCCAACAACCAATAAAGTCTTCGCTTCTGCCTCTGACTCGGCCATTAATTCGAAGCCCAAACTCCGCCGCTCCGTCTCCGATCCCACTCCTCGCTCACCGAAAACCGTCTCTGGCAGTGACGAGGATGACGAAACTCCCAATTCTAAGGTTTTCCTGAATTAATTAAATTTGCTAATTAATAATTTCATGGTGGTTCTTGGAAATTGATTATTGTGTGTGGTTCCAGAGGCTTGCGAGGATAAAGAACCGGGTAAGAGAGATGAGCCTGTGGTTCCAACAAGTCATGCTTGATGAAGTCGAAGATCACGAAGAAGGCGACGAAGAACAACACCATCAAGAACAAGATGAAAATGGAGGCACGTCACCCGCTGATCAGCATGCTAATCATAACACTAACTCTGTCAGCGCTGCTGAGGTACCTACTGGTGTTCTTAATTTCTTTCGTTCGTAAATTGGATTAATTCTGGTGTTAATTAAGCTTTGGATTGTTGCAGGATGATTGCGAGAGAAAATTTGAAGAATCAGTGAGGGTGGAGAGGTTGGAAGAGTGCCAAGTCATTCGCTTCAGGTGCGGCTGCGGCGTTCCTTATAACTTCCTTCTTGCCGGAGACAACTGCTACTACAAGCTCATGTAGATCCTTGTGGAGGCAACTGCTTCTACGAAAAGCACTTTTTATTCTTGGCTTTCCCTACTGTTTCATTTTGTTCTGTATTTGTTTTCTTTCATTCTTCTTTCGTTTTTGTTTTCGCTTTTCTGAAGTAGAAAATCTGGAACATATGATCTGAGACGATGTAAAAACGACGGCATTACTTTGTTTACTAAATTGCAAGTACAAATAAATAAAGTCTTCGGGTTCTATCTGCGAATGAATGAAAGAGTGTTGTTTTTCGATGGATTGCTCAACGGTGCGAAGTGAATTACACACGGTTCTCCTATTTCTTTTCCACCTGATAAATTTCTTGGTTCGTAAGTTCCTGTAGCGAAATCGAATCAAGAGGCTTGGGCAACTGAGGTCTACGAACAAGAAGCTCCTTCGTTACTTGTTCCATCGTTGGACGAGATTTTGGTTTGGTGCGCAAGCATCCCAACGCCAATGTCATAACCATAACCACACCAGAAGCTGTTTGTCGATTGCTGGGAGGAGAGAGCCGTGGATCCAATACATCTTCCAACGTCATTTGTAGAAGCGATGGCGACTTTGAGGACTGTGAGGAAGATGCGGAGATCAAGGAAAGAAGTTCTCCTGGATGTCTTCCCATGATTATTTCCAGAGTGAGCACTCCAAAACCATAAACATCGCATTTTTCAGTCACGGCAAATGTGTGTGCAAGTTCTGGTTTACGGAAAACAAGCAAGTGTATTAGGATATAAGAGCTGAATCAAAGAATAAGTGAAGTTAAAAAAGCTGAAAAAACTATGGGTTCACCTGGTGCAATGTATACCGGAGTGCCGGCAAGTATTATTGTTCGATTACGCAAATGAGGATATAAGAGCCGTGCTGTGCCAAAGTCGGATAAAGAAGCCACCATGTCCGAGTTGAGAAGAACATTGCTGCTACTCACGCTTCGGTGAATGATCGGTAGGGTGCAGTTGTGATGCATGTATGACAACGCATGCGCTACGCCTTCGATGATATGTAACCTCTTGGTCCAATCCAAATCTGCAGCTTCAACATCATTGCCCAGAACACTGAACAAGCTTCCCCTTTCCTTGTATTCATACACCAAGAACATACAACGCCTGTGCAAGCAAAACCCAAGAAGCTTCACAATGTTTCGATGTCGGATTTTTGACAGCATTCTTGCTTCATTCTTGAAACTCTTGAAGAGAGCTGGTTCCCCAGCTTCCCAGTGGTGGAGCTTCTTCAAGGCTACTACTTTTCCGCTTGGTAGCTGTGCTTTGTAAACACTGCCATAAGCTCCGCTCCCAATACAGTATTTTATGTCAAAGTCCTCTGTTGCTTTCGTGATATCCTTGTATGCGATTTTTCCATCAAAGTTCCATATCGAGAATAAATCTCCGTTCTTTGTTACTCCACCGGACTTGTTTTTCCGAAGTAATAAACATCGAGGAAAAACAAAATAACCAAGAATGAGGAAAGCTAAAAGAATTCCGGGAACCAAGATTTTCACGAGGACCAAGTTCTTGCTGCTGGACCTGGTTCCTATCGAGTCACCAAATGAATCATTGTTGCCGCTGACAAATACATCAGGTGGAAACGAATGCTGGAGATCAGTTGGGATATGACCCTTCAAGGAATTGTTTGACAAACTGAGTCGACGAGCTCTGTGCAACAAATTGAAAGAAGGGGGAATGGTACCAGTGAGTTTATTGTGGCTGAGGTCTAAATATTCCAACGAATTCCTCAGGCTCCCAAGCTCAGAAGGTACTTTTCCTCGTAGTGAGTTATGGCTGAGGTCAATACTAGTCAGTGCAGAGAGGTAACCAATCCGAGCGGGAATACTCCCAGTTAAAAAGTTGCGGCTCAATAACAAGAGTTGTAACTTCGAGCAATTCCCAAGATCAGTTGGGATCGATCCTATTAGACTGTTACTGGAAAGGTCTAGAACCAAAAGATTGAAAAGTGATCCGATTTCAGGTATTATGTTACCCGAAATTTGGTTTGACGAAAGAACAAGATACTGTAATTGTGTTAACTGAGAAAGCTCATGAGGTATGACTCCGGATATCTTGTTCATGGACAGGTTTAGTGCCTTGAGCTTGACTAGATGACTTAGAGACGGAGGAATTGAACCGGTGAGACTGTTAGCACTAAAATCCAAATGTTCCAAGTTGTTCAAATCCCCTATTTCGAAAGGGATGGAACCGTTGATCTGGTTCCATTCGAGGGACAGAGATTTCAAACTAGTTAAACGGCCAATGGTGGCGGGAATTGGACCAGTGAGCCTGTTTGCTGATAGTTGCAGGGTGACCAAGTTTTTCAAGTTCCAAAGACTTGAAGGGATATAACCAGTAATTTGATTGTAAGAAAGGTCAAGGTAGTTGAGCTTGGAAAGAGTACCTATTTCAGATGGAATGCTGCCCTTGAGTCCTCTTGCATGAAGCCGAAGACGAACAATGTTTGGAAAGCAAGAGAAGTTGAATTTTCCAAAATTGCCATCGTCCCCCAACTGGAGATCAGGTGGCAGCGAAATCTCCGTGATGCTTCCGGCAGTGTTGCAAGTAATGCCGGGCCACTCGCAGAGATGGTTGGTGTAGCCACTCCACCACCCGCTGGCAAGCAGAGCCCGGGCTTCCAGTTCTAGTGACCATGGCTGCTGCGACTGGGATGATACCGTCGCCACCGCTAATGCAACTGCCGTTGCAACCACCAAGGTGGGGATGAAACGAAAAGGAAGAGAGAGATGCATCTTCTTCCAGCCTACAGTTGTATGGAAAGTTGAAACAGAAAAGAACAGGTTAGTTTATCATTCAGTTGACTGGTTTGCGTTGACGCGTAGCTAATTACTTGTCCACAAATTAGAGTGCTATTACTTTCAAGTTTCAAATCAACGCGTTGCCTTGTTGACTAAGCACTCTTTTGTTCCCACAGATTTTTTTTTTAACCATGATTCTCAAAAATGGCGGGAGCTGCTTCAGTGCAGTGCCTTGGGTAAAAAGTTAAAGGAAAAACAGGAAAAAAGCACTGAAAATGCAAATGCTGGGTTTTGTTTTGTTTTCATCCCTACACTCAATTCTTGATCATAAGGGTCCACTTGTTTCTATGTATGTACAAAGCACCTTTGCTCGTAAACGCTTTTGCTACAAACATGTTGAAATTTCAATTGAAAATACAAGCATTGTGTTTCCTTATAAAACACTTGAAAGTGCTTCTCCCAGAAGCACTTGTATTACTCTAAATCACTTTTAAATTTTCCTGTCAAACGTAGTCATAATATAGGCCTTTAAGAAGCAGCCCCAACACAGGCACAACTCTTCCCCAACGTCAAAGGGCACGATCATAGAGACTACGGACTAATAGTAAACCAAGAAACACTTGCAAATACAAAACAGAAAGTACATGACAACGAAATGATAAATGATATCTATTTTCTACTTGCAAGTGTGTTGTCACAGAAATCTACAGTGCTGAGGGCCAACGGTTCGACGTGAGGTGCACAGAGCCAGTAGGAAATAGCACAATACTGAGCAACAATCAGGTAGGGCGCACCTCTCATTTCGTCGCACTGACTTAGTATACATCTCAAAAACAAGAAATTTCCCCTAATTCAACGAGAAAGCTCCATTGCAGTACCTGCAAAACTCAAAGAAAATAACTAATCCGTAAATATGCTCTAGCGCATTGTCCTCACGAGTGATCCGTGAAAAAGTGCAGCATTGAACAAAATATGTAGTACCTGTTGCTGAACTTCTCAACAGCATCAGAGGCATAGAGAAGCGTTTCATTGGCTTTCTCTAAAACCATATAAAGCTCCTTCCCTCTTGTAACCCGAGCAATAACCCAAGCATTGTTTTTTGCTCTGATGCTAACTTCCAATTCTTTCTCGTGACCAGCATTATCCGATTTCGTTCTACTTTTTTCCAAATCAACTTCTTCTCTGACCTTACTTAAGGCAAGTAAGGAGTCCTGCCACAGACGAGAAAAATGGACAACTTGGAACCAATAGATAAAAGTCATACATCAGCATTAATTTCATGAGATCTGGTCTGGTCAGTAACCACTAAGCCTATCTTGCAAAAACCAACTGCATTAGGGCCACGGATAACGCCCAATGTAGAAGAATGCACTGAAGATGCAACCTAGTCTAGCTGATGAATATCATGAGCATGGTACCAGTAAGAAAAGCAGAAGACTGAAAAAGAATAGAATAATGGCCACCTAAGTTCTCTCCCATAATTTCTTAGCTGCAGCTAGGGACTTATAAATTTTACATGTAGTAAACAAGGTGAAGATCCTCAACCAAATGGCTGTTTTAACAGGGACTGTGCGGAACAAGAGAGCAAGACAAACACTGTGGCAGGTTGTTTTACCTTGGTAAGGGTAGTGACTTTTCCTGGTGGAGAAGCCCTGGATACACTTCTGTCTCCATCCACTAGTAAATACCGATATCCACTAACATGATACGCATTCTCACCACCCCATCCTTTTGATAATTTCTCTTCAACTTTCAACAGCTTTAGGGATACCTGGTAAATGGTAATGACAATGCCAATGACAAGTTTATATTTAGAGAAGCTGTTTGATAACATAAGCATTACAGTTAACAGCAGAGCTAGAAAGCTCACATTTTCAAGAACTTGCTGCTTCACTGCAGAAATACCTTGATCGCCATTTAGTACCAAAGAAACAGGAAGGAGAAAAATTAAGGTGAGACTCTTATGCTGATGGGTACACAGATACATTCTCTCCTCTGTCTGATGAAGCAAAACTGTTGGGGTGGCAGAAGCTCCAGTACTAGTCTCTGCACCCCAAATATCACTGACAAGAAAACCGTCCTTTCCTTTGGACCACTTATCAGGTTGCAAGGGCCGTACGACACGAGAACTGTTATCTCCAGTAGGAGAGTTGTCAAGTGAGCCATGCAATTGTTCTGGAACAGCATCAGGACGGGCCAAACTAGAACCTGAGGATGTAGCTCCCTTCCGTAAATAGGACCAGGAACTTACTCCAGAGGATAAAGCACGGGGAGTCAACCTTAAAACAGCATATGCAAAGAGGTTTACGGTATCATCCTAACAAAAATAGGGAAACAAAATTCACGGAAGTTAGCATTTCCAAAATAAATGTACTGCGCACTCCTAGCACTCCTGCTACGAAAATTCAAAATAAAATTTATCTCAGTTCTTAAGGTTTTCTTGAACTTGAACACTAGATGGCTTTTGAAATGATTAAAAAACACCAATGTTAGGATCAAACCATACAGGAGAAAGTGTGGTGGACACCAACAGGTCCTGAAACAAGATTAATGAGTGACACGGCATGTTCCCAGCACAAGATTCAAGTACCCTAACAAGCGACTGCAAAGACAAGTGAACTCATTAAAAGAACTATACAAAATAAAACTATACAATATTGCATTAACAACGAAAAACTAGTATTAGGAGGTTCAGGTAGGACTTAGAAGTCCTCGTACGTACAAAGATGTAGAGTTTTGAACAATAAAAGTAGGCTAAAAGGTAGCTAATAGGACTGTTAGTGATGATAGATAGACCTAATGGTAAAGAAGCACTGGATTAAAAGTTAAGGTCGAAGAATCTATAGTATAACTGTGAAACTGAATGAGATGAAAATTACTGGCCAATATGTGAACAAGGCTTAAATATTCCTCTAACATATGATTAAAATATATTCTGAAAAAAAACCTGAACTTCGATTGCTGCTTCCCGCCCTACAGTAAGCATCTGTACAGTTCCACGCTCCTTCAAAGAGTCACGGAATGAGGGTAGCAGTAGTTTCTTCCCAACCAGAAAATCTGCCGCAGAGAGTAAAACCACACATATGAGACACAGCAACTTCAGCATTACTCAGGAAGAAAAATCCAATCGAGACAGCATGATACAGCAACTTCAGTATTACCCCAGCAACACTCATCGAATGGAGACCGCTTTTGAAATGCTGGCAATTAGTGACTATACAATGAAATTTTAACCCCAAAGACGATATAAAACTGGACTTCAATGCAACTAGTAGGAACACAATTGTACGATGACTTACCACCGAGATAGTCCATGATGAAATGGTACAAATGCGGTCGAGTTAGTCCTCCACCGGGGTCTTTATCAAGCAACGCTCTTATCGATCCATGAAACATCACGAAAAGAGAATGTACTTCCTTGAGAACCTTCCTCAATGCATCACTTCTCCAAATCGGTTCAAACTCCTTGTTTTTCTCCACTACCTACCACAATGTAGAGCAATGATTCTAATCTAATCTAAAATGTGGGCAGGGGGATTCGAACTTAACTGAAAAATAACTCAAATAATAATTGAAAATGAAGAAACAAGAGCTCACCATGACCATCCAGATATCGGGTTCCGCCTCGTAAAAGACATGGGAATGCCTCTCTGCTTCAATGGCCTCGCAAGCAGCCTCCGGAGAGAAGATTCTGCACAAAACACAACCCAATTCTTCTAATTAAAAACCAAAACCCCCCAAAAAATGCAATTGCAAAAAAAAGTAGAAACCTTGTAAATGTGATGAGTCCTTCACTGAGCCCGATCACAGAGAATTGGGCGGAGAAGGGCAAATCAGCTGGAAAGAAGAAGAGTATCTTGTCCAACTCCTGCCCTTCGTTCTGACCCCTCCTCAAATCGAATATGCACAATTTCACTCCCTCTGGAGTGGTAGCCGTAGTAGTGGCAGACGACAAGCCCATGATTTCTTCTTCCTAATTTAATGGCGCAATCAAACAATCTGCATAACGAATTGAAACCCTAATTTCGTGAGCTGCTGAATTGAAACGACAGGTAAATACGAGATTGGAAGGGGCTTACTTTGCCAAAGGTTGACGACGATATCTACATGTCACAGCGAAGCTTCCTGTAGGTGTTAGGGATTTTGGTACCAAATTATGATTTTATTAGACACAGATCGTTTTATTGCTTTGTCCTAAGTTTGAATGGTAGGTAACTGGGTGAGAGAATTTTCACTAATTACTGTGTCTGTACATAACAGAAATTTACCATGGCCCCGAGGAGTAACAAAACCGCCTTGCGGGGAAAGTGACTCCGAAATTTGGTTTATAATTAATTTTGTAAAATTTTTTAAAGTTGATTTGAAAACGAAATTATTTTTTATTGATTTTCAAAGTTAAAAAATAAAAAAAAATAATATAAACTAATAGTCGGCCCCCAAATACTTTTTTATGTGCCGAAAATCTTCAAATGGTCCTAAATTAATTTTAGGAAACATGTAGTGCGACGAGAATGACTCGAATTTTAGCTTATAATTAATCTTGTAAAAATTTAGTTTTAGGAAATATTTTACGTGAGAGCTAAGGAAAATTTTGTAAGATTTGAATGTGATCATACTGTCTAATAAAACCCAAAACTATTTTTTTTATGAATTTTTAAATTAGAAAAAATAGAAAAAGTAATATAAACTAATAATTGGCCCCTAAACATTTTTTCATATGCCGAAATTTGTCAGAATGTGCTAAATTAATTTTAGGAAACATGTGGCATGGGAGAATGACTTGAATTTTGGTTTATGATTAATCTCATTAAATTTCCAAATTTGATTTGAAAAGGTGGGTTATAACTCACAATTTTGAATGAAAAAAATTTCAAGTTGTAAGAAATATTTTGCGTGGGAGCTAAGAAAATTTTTGCAAGATCTTTGGATGTGATCCTACCATTTATTAGGTCCGAAAACTATTTTTAGGAAACATGTGGCGCAACGAGAATGACTCGAATTTTGGCTTATAATTAATCTTGTAAAAATTTTCAAAATAAAGTTGAAAACATAGGTTATATATAACTCACAAATTTTGTGAAAAAAAAAAAATGAAATTTTAGTTTTAAAAAACATTTTGCATGGGAGCTTAGGAAATTTTTTGCAAGACCTTTGGATGTGATTGTACCATTTGTTAAGTCCCGGAAGCACTTTTCTTGATTTTTAAAGGTGAAAAGTAGCAACAATAATATGGACTAATAGTGTGCCCCTAAATATTTTTTTATATGCCGAATATCTTCGAAATGTCTAATTTTAATTTTAGGAAACATGTGATGCGATGAGTATGACTCGAATTTGGGCTTAATTAATCCTGTAAAACTTCCCAAAATCGAGTTCAAAACGTGGGTTACAACCCACTATTTTTGTGAAAAAAAATTGAAATTTTACTTTTACAAAATATTTTGTGCGGGAGCTAAGGAAAATTTTGCAAGACCTTTGGATGTGATTCTACCATTTATCGAGTCCCGAAAGTTATTTTTATTGATTTTTAAAGTTGAAAAGTAGAAATAATAATATGAACTAATAATGTTCCCCTAAATATTTTTTTATATGCCGAAAATCTTCAGAATGTCCTAAATTAAATTTAGGAAACATGTGATGCGACGAGAATGACTCGAATTTTGGCTTATAATTTATTTCTATAAAAATTCCCAAAATCGAGTTGAAAACATGGGTTATATAACTCACAAATTTTGTGAAAAAATTGAAATTAAGTTTTAGGAAATATTTTGCGTGGAAGTTAAGAAAATTTTTGCAAGACCTTTGAATTTGATTCTACCATTTATTGGGTCCCTAAAGTATTTGTTATTGATTTTTATTATTGGGCCCTTGGGCCTTCCACGGAAGAGATGTTAAAAGTTAATATTGGGCCTTTGGTATAATTAACTCTGCAGTGGACGGCCCATATACCACATTAAGCCCAACATTGACGTAAATGGAGCGCGCAATGCAAATACGAAAAGACCAAATAGGACCTCCTCTCATCGCTCAATGTACGGATTCACGGAGTATTGACATGAGTAGTGGGACCATGAAAAGACCAAAAAGGACCTATCGCCTCCAACTTCCATAACCGCCTTCTTAAAACTGACTCCCTTCCTTTTCTCTCTTCCATCTCCGTTTCTCACTTTCACACTGAAACCAACCAAACAGCCCTCACACACACACACACACAATCTCTGCAAATTCACAAATTCTAATTTCAAAACTAATTCGAAAAAATGAAGTGCAAATCAATCCGAGCGATGCAGAACCTCCAAGCGGCGCCGTACCTGGAGGCGAGGAAGAAGCTCCGGTCAGTGCTCCCTCGCCGGAAGCGACCTCAGATCTCTCCGGTTCTTTACTCGCCTCTGAAGCACAATGCTCGCAACGAGACCTCCGGTTTCTCTGGTTTCTCTGTGAACTCGACCTCGTGTTTCTACTTCGGCGGTGAAGTTTCGTGCGAGTCGAGCAGAGTTTCCGTCGGATCTGAGACCGAGGCAAGGTCTGCTTTGAGGAAGAGGCAGTTCGATGAAACTGAAGGCTCCGGAGCTGAGAAGTACCGCGACGCACCTTATCAGAGAACTACGAGATCGTATTGTGGAGGAAAGGCGGTGAAGAAAGACGGCGAACCTGAGGTTTCTGAATCCTCGTGTGTGGAGTCTAATTCCGGAGCTGGTTTTGGAGGCTTCGCAGAGAGAAATTTGAAGCTGAAGAAGGAAATTGGAGGAAATGAAGGCTCTGAAGCCGTTACTAGATCGGAGATTTCCGAATGCGATAATGTTTCGCTTGGATTGAAGGAAAACGAAGTCACTTCATTCAATTCTGGCGTCGAATTGTGCTCTGAAGTCAAACTCGCAGAGAAAACGGCCAATGATGGTGGAGCACCGGAATTTGATTTTCCTGCAATTTCGGGAAACTACTTCGCCGAGAATTTCATCGTTTCAAACTCTGAGTCGACAATTGACCAGAGGCCGGAGAGCTTTCCAATCGACTCTGACCTCGCTTGTAAGGAGCAATTCTCTTACGACGACGTTTCAGAGTACTCTTCCAGTCAGACGTTCTCGGAGCTCCAATCGGATATTTTCGACGTGCATTCCGATCTCAATCTCTCAGAGTACACGCCGTCTATTTTCTTCGATTCTGGAAGCGAATTCTCAGAGCGTTCGGATGAAGATTCAACTCCTTCACTTACTTTCACCTTGCTCCTCCAATACAGAGAAGGATTTTCGAGATCGAGCACTGCTTCATGTCTCGATGATGCTTCCCGCGTTAACGAAGTGTGTAAAGATCAATCGACAGTAAGTTTCCTCAAGTCCAGGCTTACTAGTTCAATTTTCCCTTGCTTTCCTGCACTTTCTCGCCAGCCAAACAGAATTACACATTTTATTAATTTTTTGCAAAGATTTTAATATATTTCATATTTTATTATATTAATAATTATCATTTTAGTTTCTTGAGTTCGAAGACGAGGAGGACGAAGAGAGCTATCAGCTGCTGAGGAAAAGAGAGAGGATGCAAGTGTATTTGCGAGACTACACGGAGGACTACTCTTCCACGACGGAGTGCGGCGATGTTATCCTCCATCAACGGTGGCAAATGGTCCGTTGGATCATCGAGGTGAATCGCTTTACCGAAAACCTCGTTTCACAAAATAATCGCCGTTTTTTGTTTCCTTCTCCGATCGAAGTTCAATTAATAGCCGTAATTAGTTCTGGTTTATTTCCGGAGAATATGCCGTTACTGTAGAACGTACTTCTACATTCACGATTCCAACAACTAATTTCACATCCAATGATTTCATGCCACGTCATTGATGAATCAAACTTATACTTTATCACGGTTTTTTCTGTTCTCCTATTGGCCAAAGCATGTGATACAACATATTAGCGAATATTCAGGGTGCATGAGATTATACATCTTTGTGAAATATGCTTTTACGTAAATTCGATACAATTAATCTACAACAAGAAATTTTGGACATATTAATTACATTACTTTCACGTTGCACGCACTTACCACGCAGTAGTTGCACGTGCACTTGTAACAGTTACTGGGGGCACCTAGAGTTTGTTACTTGTTGGAAAGACTTTTTTTTTAACATACATATCTCATCATTTGTATAGTAACACGTAGTGTATCATTTCGTATGCTCGTCACACTGAAAAATTTCTAACGCTCACGATTTTCCGCTTATAAAGGAATTTCACACGTTTTAATGCTTAATCATGATTAATTAGTTGGCATTTAATTTCTAATTAGTAATGGGTGGCTATTTAAGAATAAAAAATCGTGATTTAGTAGTTAATTGTCAATTTGTGTTGCTTATAATCTGTCATTATCTGTTGTTAATGTGCTTTTGATTGGTTTTGCCAACAAGCAGCGGTCTACTGAAACGGAGCTACAGGCGGAGACGAAGTTTTTAGGAGTAAGCCTTCTTGACAGATTCTTAAGCAAAGGATATTTCAAGAACAAAAGGACCCTTCAGACTGCTGGAATAGCCTGCCTCACACTGGCTGCAAGAATTGAAGAAAACCAGCCCTACAACTGGTTCAGATTTATACTTTTCATATCTGTCTATTCTGTTTGGTATTTCAAATAAATTTGAGACATAACGAAGCAAGATGCGTTACGCTTTCGTTCTAATTATACCTTTCTGATGGCCGTTTTCAGCGTGCGGAAGAAGAAGTTCTACGTAGGAAGCAATATGTACAGCAGATGTGAAGTGGTGGCAATGGAATGGCTAGTTCAGGAGGTCCTCAGCTTCCAGTGTTTTCTCCCCACCATCTATAACTTCTTATGGTAACTCCCACCCTCCCCCTTTACTCCCAAATGCTACTATATTAGACATGATGCATACACAGTTTCCCTTGCAATCTTGATATCTTTATCCCTTGAACTAAATTGCCAGAGTTTAATCTGGATAACGCAGGTTCTATTTGAAAGCTGCTAGAGCTGATGGACAGGTGGAGAAGAGGGCCAAGTACCTGGCAGTGCTGCAGATGCAGGACCACGGCCAACTTCGTTACTGGCCTTCAACTGTTGCAGCTGCTCTTGTCATCCTGGCTTCTTTAGAAGGCAATCGTGATGTGTCCCGCCAACGAGTAATAGAGGTAATTGCCAGAATTTTTCTTTCAAACTACATTAGACTATAATGTAGAGCGACGGGGTTCTGTTATCGTGAAGAACACATCGAGTTCTCAATTACTCATTGACGCGATTTCATGGTTTTGCAGACTCATGTGAGAACAGAAGGTGATGATCTACACGAATGCATAGAGGTATGGATGAATTCTGATATCATGAATTTCAATCGCATTTTCATTTCTCCATTTAAGTTCCTAAGAGTTTCGATTGCAATTTCATATAATCATTGTATATTAACGTAGCTGCCAATGTGCTACATTTGACAGAGCCTAGAGTGGTTGTTAAAGTATGTATGAGAGCATCCTAGCAGGTAAAGGAACATGTACATCACCTTTCTGTTTCTGATTTCCTACTCATCTAAAGACATAGACGGAAGGTAGATCGAGCTGAGCCTTCTAAAGCCTGATCAAGAGGTAAAACGAATCTGATTCTTTTGTCAATCAACACGACACTGCGGCAACTTGTAATCACTCCATAAAAATAACTGAAATTGTACCTTCTAAATTGTTGCGAAGGACCACACGTAAACTGTAAGACCTTCTGCTTGAAAAGCTTGTCATTACTCACCATGAAAATATTCAGGAAAACGAAACCACTTTTCATGCTTGGGTTCTCAACTTTTTGTTTTTGTTTAGAGAAAATGTATTAGGTTTTCTAGCATACATAAATCTAGTGGATGCTCTGCTAAGGATTGAATTATTGATACCTCTAGCTCTAATGCTTGAACATCTGCGTAAAGTTTGAAGGTTTATATGGTCGGGTTGATAATTCTGTTTTTCAAAATCTCTGCACCATGTGCATCCTTGTTAGAGAAGGACCGGTTCTTTTGCTGGCTTATTATTATTAGCGTTGATAAATCTCTTCTTCAAAGCGCCCTCCGTAGAAGCTAACATCAGGCGGTTTATCGGCATTTCCAAAATACTGGCCTTGCTTTCTTCGATTTCATGACACCAGTTGCTTAAACTTTCTGCCTTCCCGAATTCACTTAAATCTCCTACGTCAAACTTTGCAGATTTATCATATCAACGACTAGTACATTCCTACTGAACAAGGTTTTTTTACTTTACAACAGAATCCTTGTATGAAACCATAGATACAGGGAAAACCGAAAAATACTTTATCTGTACACACCCGTCATTTAACTCCAGCCTTCATGTCATCGGGAGAACTGACCGGAAGAGAAGGCTTGGGAGCAGAAGACTCGTCGAGATGGGTCTGGGCAAAGTCAGTGATGATCTCTGTCCTCTGCCTGTCCATGGTCTCCTTCTTTTCCTCCTCGGCCCTCTCCACCTTCTCGTTGGTCATCATGCCCACATCATCAGCCACCTTTGCAACTGCGCTGAGTGCGTTTGAAACCCAAGAAGCCCCGGTCAATACATAAGGGTTGCTCATGATAGCAGATCCCGCGCTGCTTGCCTTCTGCTCAGCAACAGCAAAGGCAGACTTTGTCTTTTCGGATACCATGAACCTTTGATCCATTTCTTTCACCTTTTCGCTTACAACAGCTGTTCCGGCACTTAGCTTCTCCGTCAGCCCCATCTTCTGGTTAATCGAAACAACTGTGGCAGAGGCATTTGATGTCAACTTATGCCTCTCGTCAAACTCCTTCGCCTTGTTAATGGCATCCTTTCCTAAGGTGTATCCCTTGGCGAGCATAGCGCTGGCCACATCTTCTGCCTTCTTTACAGCAGAACTAGCAGCAACCAGCTTTTTCTCCTTCAAAGGTGAATACGTTATAGTAAGAAACGCCACTCATTTGAAGCGCGTACACACAAGAAGTTTTAGGCACATAAGACTATTAAGTAATGATCAAATCTTCATACGGCCTCCAATTTTATGTTCTACTCTCGAAAGACAACAGGACTGAAAAGTTTACCCCCAAATTTACGCTCCGCAAGATTAAATGGTTGAAAGATATATAACACATAAATGGATGCAAGCCATAGTATTTACCGGGCTTGATGGGAGCGGAATAGCTTCAGGAGGCAGCTTGTAATCCTTGGCGGGTCTAATGGTGACAGCAAGATCAGCTACGGTGGCTCCCTGAATTAAAAGAAAAACAACACACTTGGTAGTGAAAAAATGCCTTCTGCATTAGGCTCAGCTAACATATACGTGAACAAGCAACTGATGACCGCAAATGAGCTCGATGCGGTTAACAATCTTGGATTAGCAGTGAACATACCGACAGAAGAACTGCTGTATCTGCCCCTTGCGATTCCTTGAAGGTAACGTAGGCGAGCTGTGTATTTTCCGTTTCCCTGCAAAAATATAACACCGAAATCTTCAGAATCGCGAATGTACTATAACTGTGACCGATATAAGTAAAAAATGTGTACCGTTGCATTTCAACATATTGAATATCTCCAGAAAATGAACAGAACTCCTTGATATCCCTGTCAGTAATGGCTTGCGAGATGTTGCTAACTTGAACTGTTTTTATCTGCATATGGAATGCACATTCAATCAGTCCAAACCAATGCACTACAAGCAATATTCTACGTTGTTTAACGAAGCCATATTTTACTTTAAACCAATCTAAACTGCATGGAGCATGGAGTGGGAATTGAAATCGGCTCGACAAGAGAAGCACATCCGTTTTTTGGTTACAAAATTAGAGCTTGTTTCGAAATTTACTTTTAAAATGACTAAAAATGCTTTTGACGGAATTATTTTTAGGTTCCAAAAATACTTGCATTTTTACTGAGAATGATTGGTTTCAAAAACACTTTCATCAAATGTGTTTTTAGTCATTTTAAAAGGACTTCAAACGAGCTAACGGCTAATAACCACGGATTTCGCGACGAATGCTAATACAGAAGAAGTAGTAGTATTTTCTCACGTCTGAAGGTTTGGTAGTGGAGATTTGTGTGGGAGCTGTTGACTGGGGAAGTGCTTCAATCCCCTCATTTGCAGGTTCCGCCGGAGTCTGCACAGAAAACTCTCAACGCAATAATTTTAGGGGAAACTGAAAATACAGAAAGCATTAAGGGCAATCTAAAAATTAAAGAAATTATCTCAAAATTGAAGATTTATAAGGGAAAAAAAAAAAACTCACCGACATTTGGGTAGATTTTGTTTGAGAGGAAATGCAGGACGTCCCTTTGTTGGAGTATTTTCGTTCCTTTTTTCTCTTAATTTATATATATTTTAATTTTTGGTTAATTTCTTTTTTTGTTAACAGCGGCAAGCTCGGAATCGCTGTTGGGTGTTGATTTGGGGCAGTGAGTTGCCAACTCGTTTTCAGTTGGAGCTCCAATTCGGCGACGCCAACTCCTTTTCTTTTATTTTACGCGTTTAATTTGTGAGAGTTTAGGGATTTTTTTTTTTTTTTTTTTTTTTTTTTTTAATTTCAAAATTATTAAATTATGGTTGTATCTAACTCCACGTTAATCTTATTTAGTGTAAAAGCCGTCCCAATCTGACAGAACTTTTCTTGAGTTTAGGGTCTTTCTTCTTAATCCTTGACGTCCCCAGTTTAAATTCTTATCCTTCCTCCTCTAGTGTGAATCAAAATAATCATGTCGTTTGTACAAACCATTTTCATATCTGATGTGGAAGCTAAAATCCAAAAGCGCTTTTCAACAAAAGCAACTTACAAAACTGCTTTTCACATCAGCAAGCCGCATAAACATATACTCATGTGATTGATTCTACTTTTATCAAAAAAGGGTGGCAGTTGCCAAGCAAACAAAACATAAGAAAAAGTTGGTGATCCATCATCCATGTGCAACATGCATACAATTACAATACGATATATATATTGCAGCTCCAAAAACCATTTCTATTGCAACTCTTTCTGTCTGCCATAATCCATAACAAACAAGACATAAACTAAAGATTGTTGCCATAATGCACATGAATCCATCACAAACCTATCAATTTCAAAACAACTTATTTACACCTACGGTGGTGTGACATTTTGAACCAATAACACGACGTTACGTGCCATAATGCACATGAATCCATCACAAACCTATCAATTTCAAAACAACTTATTTACACCTACGGTGGTGTGACATTTTGAACCAATAACACGACGTTACGTGTTTTATATTTCTCACACATCATGTGATTAATTGATACACTGCTAACTTGGTATTCCCGTTTCATGTAAATTCTCTAGTTTTGGTTGCCATTGCCAACAAGATAGAAAGAAGAAAACAGTAAAGCAAGAACATTCCCATCAACATTTACAAGTTCTAATCTTGTCTTGAGAAATATGAAAAGTACAATAAATCCCAACAAATCTCTCAAGATATATATATATCATCTCTTTATGCTGTACAAATTAAAAAACTTACATTAGAAAATACTAGCTGTGGTTTTATGGTTTTATTAATGCTTTAGATATAACGAAAAATTTAGAAGAAAAAAGGAAGAAGAAGTAGGTAGTTAACAGACGGCACTCCATTTTTCACGTCGAATCCCTAGGAAAGAAAAAAAGAGCAAAAATATCCTTGATCTTGTTTAGGCATCAGCAGAGAGGAGCTCTGCGAGGAATGCCTTTCCTCTTGTGCAAAAGCCTCCTCGGCTTCAATGCTGGACACACCCAAGCATTCATCTCCTCAGATGACTCAGCTAACGAGATAGACGATGATTCCATTTCACTCATATTTGTTTCCGAATTGTAGTTACCTTTTGGCGAAAATTCAGCGTATTCGCGCATTGCAACGGTGATGAATTTGTGACTTTGGTGGTCTTTCGGCTTCACTGAAACTATCGATACCTGAAAATTTGAATAGCAAGCAAATGTTTCGTGATCCCTTACAGGCGATGTGAGTGCGAAATACCACAATGGAGTCGAAAATTTGGAACTGACAAGCAACAACAATTACCTTGCATGCGATGGAGCAGTAGCGATTTGGCATGTCCTGTAGATATCTCCCACAAGCTTCACAGGAAGCACCAAACTTTGCTTTTGTTGATGGTTTCGCGTCTTTGGATTGAGGACGAGAATTTAGATGCACAGCTTTCTCGCCATTGATTTTATATGTCTGTTAAGAATCATGCTGTCACTGTTTGAGATGATAAACATTCAATTCAACTGTAACATGTAATTTCATAGGTAACCAAAAATATGCCAAAGAAAAAGCCCAATGCTAGGGTTTATGTTATGAACTTGTCAACAATAAATAACCAAATCTGCGATTGATGTTACGATCGAAAAAGCACGGAGCTTCGAACAACAATAAAAGTACACATGAAAATCACATATTATTGCTAAGAGTTGTATAATTGAAGAAAGAGAGTGGGGAAGCAAACCTGAATTTTGGAGCAGTCAAGATACTTCTGAATTTCTTGAAGGCGAACGACATCATGATAAACGTATTTGCAGATCTGAAGCTTTTTGTGAAGGCAATGAGATGTCATACAATGCCTGCAGAGGCGCAGGCTGCAGTCTATGCAGAACACATTCTTCTCGTTTTTCCGAAGGTGTTGATGAACACCGCAGGAACCGAAGAATTGGCTAAGCAAAAGGGTGTTAAGCCAATGATCTCTTCTGTTTTTATTCATGCAAACCTTGCAGCCTACCTACAAACAATCCCATCCAACTTCCACAACTAAGAACAAACCTTTCAACAAGCATGTAGCAAAAACAAATTCATCAAAACTTCATCACCATTCCACACTCAAAAATTATTCAATCGAATTCACAAAACCTGCAAGATTCGCGGCATGTCAAGCCCTGGTAAGGTTCTTTGCTTTGCATCAAATTAAACCCAAAATTCATAAATTTGATCAAAACTTTGATTGCTTAGCCTTCGAACTCAAAAAACCATTCAATCAAATTCACAAATTCACAAAACCCACAACCAAAGATCATAAATTTGATGAAATTTATGTATACTAATTGGAATCCAATAACTTGATACAATCGATTTGAAAATAACAATGATCATAGTAAAAGACATTGAAAGAACTCAAATTCTTACCATTTCTTCGATTAGTTATGGACTGAAATTGAATTTTCTGTTACTGCAGGAGTCGACACTTGAAAATTTGAGTAAGAAAAACATGAAAATTTTGCAAAAATTGCAAAAAGGTCCACCTCCACAAGGGTTGTAAGCAAGTGAGAGAGGAAGAAAAAATGGGAACTCTTTTTATCCAAGCAGGCAGGCAAAGGCCTGTGTCCAATTTCCCACTTAATTATTGAGAAAATAGAAAATAAAAAATAAAACACTCCGCGGGAAGCTAAATGCTTTATTTCCGTCGGATCAAACTTAAATGGAATCCGACGGTTGTAATTTTGAGAAATTATTATTAATTATTGCACGTAATTGATTGATAAAATAATTAGGTCAGTGGGATTTTCGTACGGTGGCCATGTTACGCAAAACCCTAGTGATCAGTCCTAAGAAGCTTTACGTCCTTTCCCGCCGAAATAAGCGAGATTTTCGGAGCCGTTTTGTCTCTTTTTATTTTCCATTTGTTTTATTATTATTATTATTAATAATTGTTTGAGCTTTTTGCTGCTTCTCTGACTTGGACTCATGTCTTATTTGCCACTACTACAAATACAATGTATGATAAAATCAGTTAATTAAATTAAAATTTTGAAGTGGGATGAACTGGAATCAGCCAAGTTTTAAATTATTTTTTATCTTTTTCTAATTTTTTTCATGAAGCATTAATTTTGTTTTAATTTTATAAGAATAGTTTTCATTTTTTCTTCTCATACACTCCTCTTAATTTTCGGTTGTCGGATTGAATGAATTGAAAAAGATCAATGAAAAAAAATTAATACTGCCGCGTTTTGTTAATGCAAATGGAAATCATTACAATTTTTTATTTTGGAAAGAAGCGGTCTCTGGATAAACCTTTCGATCCGGTTAAAACCCAAATGGAAATTGTTACGAAATTAAATGTATTCAATTATTTTCTTTTCTTTTTTTTAAATAATACATACACATTTTTTTTAACCTCTCGCACATTCATTTTTATCATATATTTCTGTTTAATTTATTTAATCTGATAACAAAAAATGAAGAACTGTAATAGTGTGAAAGTCTCTCTTGTTTGGTCAATATATCTCTTTCTAGTCAGATGTTTTAAGGGAGTAAGTCAAAAGCACAAAAAATGTTATTGACTTTCGCAGCCTCACTAAACTTTAAAGAGAATTCCAAAATTTACTCCTACATTATAGTATTATACACAATATTCATATATATTTTCAATTTGGCACGGTTATCCGTCTCCAATAATTTTTCATCTCTATCATATCTCAGTTAACAAAAGAAATATATTTAGACGGATAAAGATGAAAATTTATTGAAATCACATCAATCGTCCGATCTTCAAATCATAAATATGAAAATTCTTAAATTTATTAAAATCGCATCAACTGTTAAGACTCGTATTTAGTAATTTCTATCTTCGGCTAAAACTAAATGTTAACAAGGGCCCAAGATTGAAGAAAATTTGGATTGGAACAATTGAATCACATCAACCGTCCGACCCTCGTTTTTTAAAATATAACTCCTGAATTTGGTCCAAGCCAACCTCACCTTTTACACACCCGCTCTTGAGTCTACTACGGTACTACCTTGCGCGGCGTCGGCACATAATAATCTTTCCATAGGTCTTCAAAAATAATGATTACGATTATGATAGGTCAAAAATTCGATGCGCTCCATAAAAGTATGCTTGCCAGAAGAATTGAAGTGCTCCGAAATAGCGGAGATTATTGTTGGTTTCACGATATCTTACATTAAACCTTTGTTTTGTAACAAAATTGGATGGTAATAACCATGCATAATTAGACTACATAGGCTACGTGATGTTCTAGCCGAACCCCATCTTCGTTTGCAGCCCTCGGATGGTCTAATGCGCAGAATTCGACAGGAACCCCGATCTTCAACTTGTTCGTTGGGGTTCCTTGAGCGGAATTGACAGAATAATACTGATATGTGAAAAGCAAAAGACTTCCCTTCTTTACGATCAATCATAATGAAGATGGTGTTTCCTCCTTTTGCACCTATTGACGTACCAACTGGCATGTTTCTGGAGGCCCATGCCTATCAACACCTTCAGGCTTGTCAGCATGACATACGTCATCGCGAAAAGGACGAGAGTCCAAAATAGTTTCCACGGAAGGGGACTGTAGGGAAGGTGAGCAGCATATACGGGAGTAAGCACTCGGATGACCTACAACAAAGATGACAATACCGTTCAGGATTATCTCATAATCATCGATATTGATAAACATTATTCGCACTCAAAATTGAACATTCCATTTTCAACACAGCTCAAATCTCATATCACAACCCTAATTCTTGTAGCCGGGCAATAAGTGAACTTTTCTATGCATGAATTTTTTTTTGTCTCTACCATAAAAAGTGGGGATGACTTCAAACCGTGAAAATCAACATCAAGATAAGTAAAAACGAGTGGCTTACCACACAAGCTGGTGCCAGAGGAATGAACGTAAGATTTTTCTTTGAACCCTCTGATTGTATGTTTAAAGTCTGACGAGAAGAAAACAGAGGATCAGATTTCTATATAACCATCTAAACATACTAAACATCCCATAACAACTGACCTACACTACTTTAAAAAAAGTCACCCGCAACTTTGGAGAAAAGAATACCTGCTTGCATAGGTCTTCAAGAAACTCCGAGTAAGCAATAGGCTTAATGTCATTGAACTTAGCAATGAATGAGTGCTTTACGATATCGATAATCATCTCACAGACGTATACTATGAGAGCATTCTGCAGTAAACAGATGTAAAAACAGTGATCAAAATGTTTGCTGCGCAACAAAATTTTCTCTTTTATAATGAACAGTTTCTCGTCAAATATTAAGGTCAACTTACAGAAAGGAAACTTTCAAACCAGGGACCTTCAGCCTCAAGAATGTTTTGAGCTAAAACAAATAAGACGAATGCTGAAATGTGGAATCTCTCTACTGAATCTGGTTGCAAGAAACCAAAAATAAAACAAAATTTCAGATCAAATGAAAAGATTAAGCCCAAGAGAAACTAGAAAACAAATATGACATTAAGATTTATGCCTGCATCTTTTTTCTGTAATCATCACACAATATCAGCAACAGACCTAATTGTTCTGTGCAACAAACCATAAGCAACTGAGGTAAAAGCTTCCAAGATTTTGTCTAGTCTATGCAATAGAATAGGTCTGTGACAAATTGACAATATATAACCAAAATGTTGCATTTTTTATACCCACAATATGATCTATATTTTGGTAGTTGAATATGGATACGGTGCAGCAAATGTTAAACAGCCTTACCATACTATCAGTGTATTAGAAGGAATGCATCAGAAAACAGCAATGTCAGAGAAGGTGGTAATTTTATTTTCGGCCAGCAAACTTAAAACGTTTTGCAGTGGGTAAGACTAAAAGTTTGTGATTTTGTAAACTATTGAAAATGCAAAAATGCAACAGAAAACAGGAATGTCATCCATATAGACCGTAAAATAACAGAAAGATAACTCACCGAAGTATACCAGACTATGAATGTTGTCCTTGCTATATCGCTTAAACACATTGCTTTTTATCTCAGAAAAATTATTGGACACCAGCAAAGCCCACAAGGCATTATTGTGAGCAACTATGCAGGTTGACAAAGTAATTGCCTGAGCTAATAAGATAAATGCATGAATAAGTACATACGGTTAAGGAACTCTGTAGGTTATGCATGAAAAGTGGGGTAAAAAAATCTATGAAGAAAATGATCTTTCCAAAGGATATTTGTGGCAGCCACAGCTAAAGCTTGGTCGCAAATGAATCTCCAAACCCAGAATCTCATGTTTTCTGGTGGACAGCTTGCAAGTCCATCTGCTGAGTTAAATAGAGTTTGCAATACATCTGGGTTAAAACTTTGGCATAGTTTATCAAATATCTGCAAAGTACAAAGAAAGCAACTTAGACACTGCTGACAACAACTATGGTTCTAAGATATATATATATATATTACACTGATATTGTGTTTCGCCTCAGCCTTTTTGCCTTTCAGAAAGATGAACTACATTTATGTTCTGAAGAGGAAATTGAAAAACATAAATGCAACAAGTGTCAAAACTAAAATCATATGATCAATAACATAATTACCTCCAACACGTTGTACACCACATATAATTTGATTGTTCCTTGACCACGGATCATGTGGTATATTAAGCTGATATCTGACGGAAGCAAATAAATAGGACAATCAGTACACTACATCCAACTCTTGCTCTAATCAATGGACCCAGTCATCAGGCTATAAAAATATCCACAAACTGGTTGAATAAAACATTACTACATGAAAGAATAACTCCATCATCTTCTTACTCACCTGTTTGCTCCAAGAGAGTGACTCCACAAGCCATTATAGTAAAACACCCAAAATCAGACAGCTCTGCTGCAGATGGCCTCTTAAACTGCCTGCCGCAGGTATGGTTAGGTTACGTTGTAAATATCTTCGCATTCATTACGGTTTAACAAAATTTCACACAAAAACAAAAGCAGCATGATAACAGAAATTACACTACACCGGTACAAACTTCAAAGCACCCGAATGACTCAGCCGGTATGAATGAAAGAACCAAACTTTATGAAATTATGAGACAAACCCAGAAGGGGCAAGTGAAGAGAAAATCTAACCTTGACTGTATAGTCCTCCAAACAGTCATCAAAATTCTTGTCGGCATGATAGTCAACAGTGACAGAAACGAATCAAAACACACAAAAAAGCCAACATCTATAAGCTGCAGCAAAAATGGTCACAGTTAAGACACAGTTTTACTTCTATACACATTTTCTCAAGGAACAATAAATCATAGCTGCAGCTAAAAGATTACCAATTCACATCGCCATGGCAAGCGAAATATCGTGTCGTAAACTCTCTCTCGTTCCTTCTCATTGCCAAGGGTGGTTGTGCTCCGCAACGCATTGCCATTCGACATCTCTTCCATGAAGTACTGCACTGGCGACTTGTCCACTGAAAACAAATCTGAGAGAAGAAAAATTCAAAATTTGAGCCATTGAAAACAAAAACTGCACAAGAGAAGCAAAAGGACCCTCACGATTTGGATCTTCGGCCATGAGCCGCTTCCAATCCAATGACTCAGCGGTCTGCAATTTCGGGATCACGTTCCCACTGAGCTCGCTCCTCTGCTTACTCGCCGAACCCCCCTCCGCCGCCCTCTCCTCCTTGGCCTGGCTTTCAATGCGAGACGATGCCGTTTCCGTCTCTTCCACAACTCCCCCACCGCTCCCAATGACAGTCCTCTGCCTCAACTCGGCGGTCCCGTGCAAACCCTGGAACTCGGGATCGACGACCTCCGTTGTGACGGGCAACAGCACGGTCTGGACGCTGTAATTGAATTCCAATCCGTTGCCGTGAACATCGCCGGTTTCTCTGTTTGTGGTTTCGGAAATGACATCGAAGGAGTTGGAAACAACGCCGTACATGGTGGTGGGGCTTTCGGGTATGGAGGCGTGGGCGGTGGCCGGTGTCTTCTTCTTCTTCTTGCGTTTTCTCCGGGCGAACTTGGAGTTGGTGGATTGATCGGATTGAACGGGATCTGAGTTGGATCGGTGGAAGATTGCGTGATCATGTTGGTCGTCGAGGGAACTGTTTCTGCTCAGAATCTCGAAGGACAGATTTCGACCGTTGGATCTCAACGCCATGAGAGAGTGAGAGAGAGAAGAAGACAGTGTCTGGATTTAGGAATGAGGAATTAGGAGGCGCTGCGCTGCCGTGGGCTCCGCCACGTAAATTCTGCAACCTGCCTGCCCCGCTGGTTCTTGGCTGTTCGTACAATGTGATTGCGTCTTGTGACACCATTTACCATATTCGACCATAAATTTTTTGTTTTCGATGATTAGGAGTACTAAATCGTATTATTATTCGGCATAAAACATTCTACGCTTAACAAATATTGTTTAACTATTTGGTTTTTTTTTAAACGACAAATGAATTGACCATGGTGATAGCTAAATGGTGATAAGCGAGGCAAGTAGCGTTTTATCATAATAGCAGAAAATAATAATATTTTTACATTTTAATGTGAATTTAATCTTCATCGATTCTTTTTTCCTAACAACTACTTATTACACTAATATAAAATTTGGTGATAATAGAGTATTTATCCTAAATTAAAAGATCACAAGTTAATTAGTTCATTAAACAAGGATAGCTTTATGAGAAGATACACATAAAACAGTGATGCAAAAATAGTAACGTCTCAAGTGTAGCACGTGTTGACATGGCAGAAAATAATAATATTATATATTCTACAGTGAGTTCAATTGTCAGTGATTCTCTCCTCCGAACAACTTATTATCGCTCTACTAAAAAAAATTGGTGATAACATAGTATTTAAGGAAAATTAACGAAGAAGGTTTAGAAACTTTGAGTTTTAACGATAAAGATAAAATAAAAGGTAAAGTAAATAGTATCAAGTTTGACTTTTTAATGTAAAAATGTAGTTTTTCGTTAAAGTGAACAGTACCGTAGGTTTTTCATTAAAACTCCTAGTATTTACCCTAAATTAAAAGATCACAAATTAATTAGTCCATGAAGCAAGGGTAGCTTTACAATTATTTGAAAGTACATGAAGTGACATACATCAAATGGTGACGCAAAAATAGTGGTGCCTCAAATAAAACACGTATTGACATCTAACTTAACTCTTTCACATAACGTCGTGTGTATAATTTAAGACATTTTTGCTTAGTTGACCCTTTTTTTTTTTTTTTGTTCATTTGCCTAGTCGACTTGGCACTAGATTTTTCTTTACCTTTAAATTTTTTGATGCCTAATGGAAGAGAAAATCTCGTGCAATTTCCATGTTACCGTAAGTAAAACCTTGTGCATGCGCGCTTGTACCCTTAGGAGACGGTGATTATGAAAGTCGAAATCCGCTAAAGAGTGTGTAACAACTCACCTGTCGAATCAACTAACCTCGAAAATGGATGGCGCTGAAGCGCGTGACCTATACCCAACCGTCAGCGTACTTGCACTCAAGATGCATCCCTTTATTGGACTAGTTGAAACGTGTTTTTCGTTGGGCAGTGTTGAGTTTAGCTAATGTGACGGTGTATGAGTGGTAATTGTGTTGTATTCGACAACATGCTCCGTGCTTTGACATCGTACTGTCGGCTCGTAACCCGCTTCAGTGATGCATCAAGATTTGTCTTGCGCACGCGATGGGTTTTTGTTTTGGCTACCTATTGTAAAGGAATGTTGCCTCCACCCCAAAATTCCACACCCCCCCCCTCTTTTTTAAAAGACAAGTTTTTTCGCATCAAGATTTGTCTTGCGCGCGCTATGGATTTTTGTTTTGGCTACCTATTCCTAAACCCTAAACCCAAAATTCCACCCCCCTCCTCCCCCCTCCCCCCCCCCCCCCCCCAAAAAAAAAAATTCACCCCCCCCCCCTTCTTTTTTAAAAGAGAAATGTTTTTTCCCACCTTGCCCTTTTTTAAGAAAAGAAACGTCCCTATTAACACTTGGTTGCCACAAGCTATCTTTGTGATAACTTTTTTTGACATCTCTAATTTCAAATTCCAAAAATCTAAAGGATCAATAAGCCACGCTTTCATGATTCGTAAATCAAAAGCGTAGCGTGCACGCCGTCGACCCTCTCGAGCACGTGAAGGACACTTTAGATTGACTGAAAAACTGAATTACGACTTTGAAAGTCTTGCCTTTGTGCAGCAGCACAAGCATTTTGTCAATTGCCTCAGCTATTGCGTTGCCTTTTTCTCATGGTAAATTTGACTGAATACAACGAGTTATAGACCATTAAATAGGGCTCGCATTTTCTTACAAACACGAAACAACACGACCCATTAATAGATAAGGTCTTTATCGGATCACCTATTAAGAATCGTAAAGATACCGAAGTTGACACAACAAGACATGTTAATGTAATGAGTATGACACGAAAATGACGCGAACATGACAAATACGACCCATTTGCCAGGCCTGCCATTAAACACCAACTCCATCCAACAAGCTACGCGAAGTAGAACCGATTAAGGGCTGGTTTGATATTGCTATGTTTTGAAAAAAAACTGCTTCTACTGTGCTGTGAGAATAAGCAGCTGTGAAATAAAGCAGCAGAGTGTTTGGTAAACTTTTTTGTAAAAGTGCTTTTGAAGAAAAAAAACAGTATTAGAATGTTTGGTAAACTTTTATGTAAAACAGATGTGAAAAAAAACCGATTTTTCAAAGCTGGGTTGAAATGTGAGGTCTACAAGGGCTAAAACAATGTAAGATATGAAGGCCGGCTTAACTGGTCATGTATAAATATTCTTCCTAAAAAATTTAGAGAGTATTTTGTGTTTGGTTTTCCAAGTTGGATACGTCTTTCTTTTGAAGGAAACGACCGGATTTGCCAGAGGTTCACGAGGACACGTTGGATTAGCCATCATGACTCAAGATTACTTGAATTTCGAAGGGATTGAGGACTTAGACCTGGTTTGGTACTAAGGTGATTATGAAAAAAGCTGTTATCAAAAAAAGCTGGGAGCTGTTTTTGTGTTTGGTAAACACTTAGCTTCAGCTTTTTTTCACAGTTTTGGGTGAAAAAAAGCCAAAAACAAGAAGCTGCAAAACTCAGCTTTGAAAAACCGGCTTTTTTTCACATCTGTTTTACATAAAAGTTTACCAAACACTCTAATACTGTTTTTTTTCTTCAAAAGCACTTTTACAAAAAAGTTTACCAAACACTCTGCTGTTTTATTTCACAGCTGCTTATTCTCACAGCACAGTAGAAGCAGCTTTTTTTCAAAGCACAGCAATACCAAACCAGCCCTTCATCAGATATTTTACATTTGTTTGAAAAACTGTAGACATAAATCGTATCGATGCGAGAATAAACGGGTTAACTATAGTCTATAAACATGCTTCAGATATGATATTTAATCATTAATTAACATTGTTAACTCTGGCTTACTGGTCTAAGACGAACGGAAAAATACAAGTTCCTAACTGTGAATGATGTCTGAGTTCTCTTTCGAAGAATTTTTCGCAGTTAACTAATCGAACGAAGATGAAATTAAGAAACTTATTTTGTTGTTATCTCATTCATTCGCCGCCTGTGGATTGGCATTAGCTAGCAGCCGGCCTCCTTTAAGAAGCTGACTAAACAAGTTTAATTAATTTCCGTATAAACTTTGTAGTTTCAGCGTCGATTGAACCAAAGACAACATCGTCATTGTATACACAGAACCAGGAAAGCAACTTCTGTAACAAACTGCGACTTCATCTCGCTATATTAATATTGTCCTACTTTCTTTCTCTTCCTCGAGTTCAAACACGAAAAACCCTCTTCCTCTGGTTTCTCTCTCGACATGCAGCGGCGATTTCGGCAAGTTTTCAGTGCTCTAAGAGAGCACAGCTCCGTGAGCTATGCCAAGATTGCCACAGTTGGAGGGTTTTGCAATGTCGAACTCATCATTATAAAAGCAACGGCTCCTGATGACTTGCCGTTGCCTGAAAGGTACGTTCAGGAGCTCTTGAAAATATTCTCCATCTCCCCATCTTCGTTGAGAGATTTTTCACTCAGCTTCAATCGCCGCTTTGTCAAGACTCGCTGCTGGCGGGTTGCGCTTAAGTGTCTAATTCTCCTCCACCGCCTACTCCGTTCGGTGCCTGAAGACAGCAACTTCCGTTCTGAGCTCCTTTGGACGCGATCCAACGGTTTGATGTCTCTCAATCAGTGTCCCTTCCGCGATGATTCTTCCTCAGCTTCAAAAGATTACACAGCCTTTATTAGATCATACGCTCGCCTCCTCGAAGAAGCACGTCATTGCTTTTGGTTGGATAGCAAGCCAGCGTATGACCAGCAAGATCAACAACAATATGAAGAATATCAATATCGCGAACAAGACGAAGAGTACAAAGAAGAAGGAGAAGAAGAAGAGCCGCAACTCGAGAGCTTATCGAATAGAATGATGGAAGTAGGCCGAATGCTTGAATTGTTGCCGCACCTGCAAACCCTCATTGACCTTGTCATGGACTGCCGTCCCACAGGACCAGCATCCAAAGCCTTTCTCGTCCAACTCGCTATGAAACACATCATGAGAGAAAGCTTCATGTACTACACAATCTTCCGCCGTGAAATCGTCACAGTTCTGGACAGTTTGTTTCAAATGCCATACAGTAGTTGCATCTCGGCTTTCAGCATTTACAAAAAGGCAGCCGTCCAAGCAAACCAACTCTCTGAATTCTACGAGTGGTGTAAAGCCATGGGATTCTACGGAGGGTACGAGTATCCCTTTATTGATCAAATCCCACACATACAAATTCATGCTCTCGAGAAATTCCTCAATGGTATGTGGCAGTTGACGGAGTCCTCATCGACACCAACTTCGCCAACTTCTTCGGCATCAGTGCTGTCATCTTTTGTGGAGTTTTCAAGTTCCACCACTTTGACAGAGGACGATATTGGTGACAGAGTTTTTCTGTCACAAAAGGATCATATCCTTGTTAGTACAAAATGGGAGAAGCCGTTGATTCGGTTCGAGAGAGAAAGTTACGACAAGGAGAAGCTGTTAATTCAGTTGGACGAGGAGAAGCCGTTGATTCAGTTCGAAATAGAAGATTTCGACAAGGAGAAGCCGTTAATTCAGTTTGACGAGGAAAAGCCGTTGATTGATTTCGAAGATGATATCGACAACGAGAGCTGGGAGAGCCTGCTTGAAGCTTCCATTAACAAGTCTCCAGCTGCTCAAACTCAACAAAACATTTCATGGCAGATGCAAATATACAACCCCAATGCTCTAAATCCATTCCGTCAGCCAGTCATCAGGCCAAATTACCATGGGGACTATATATAACGTTTGGTGTGCTCAAATTTAGCTGAATAAAAAGCTCCCCACGTGAAATATGGAATAAATTAGCCTTTCAACTTAGAAAAAGGAAAAGAAATCTGCGGGAATTACGTACATTGAATATTTATTTGATTTTTTTATATTGGCCCACATTTTTTTGTGTGATTTAGCACGCTTGTATCTTATAATGGTTTTACTTGGAAAACGATCGTCGCCGCATACTTTTTTTGGGATCTGGTAATCGTAACTGTTCATCGTAAATCATGCGGTCAATTTTCGTTAGTTACTATTTATATTTAATTTTAGAATTTAAATTTTGAAATGATTTCTGACTGCACGATGTATAATGAACGGTCATGATCGCATGATCCTTAAGATCCAACGGAAAAGGATCCGGTGGGAGTCCTTTTCCGTTTTACTTCCTAATTATAATCCATTGGAAAATTCTTTGGGATGTTCGAATCAAGTATGGACTTACTACTTTTAACATATACGGTGGTTGGACACCTTTAGTAGGAACAAAATATTGCAAAGCATGCTCAATACTTGTCTATCCTTTTGTCTATGAATACATTTATCTCGAGAGAGAAGAGGAGAGGATATCGAAGATGAATTAGTCTAACGCCCGCACCGATCAGGCAATGATCTTGAATCTTGCACTTTCTCTTTCTTTGAAGCTTCCCGAAGGTGGCAAACAAGATGTATGCGATCATGCTGATATTCCCAAACGGATTTCACGTTTTACGTGTGTGGTATTCAATGTAATTCCTATTTATTCCTAGCTAGTAGGTAAAAGGGAAACATTGAGTCTGAGAAACTCATAGCTTTTAAACTTTTTACAAAAGTCACTAAAATTCAACTAAATATTTCCATGCTTTCATTGCCGAAACCACTCATTCCCAATGCATTTGAAATGCCATGACCACTCCGTGTTCGTCTTCATTGTCGTCAGATTTTATTTCTGACAAAAAGGCGGTAGAGCTAATTATGGAAAACCAAGTATTCAATCTCAAAGCCCAAATACCTTTCTCTCAAATGGTGGTTATTGTTCTCTCCAGCTCCAAAGAAATTTGCCCATTTTCAGAAGGTTTCATACAAACTACGAATAAATAATACTATTGCAGTGAACTTGGACGAGGCAATATAGCATTGGAGAGTTTTGTCGCGTAGGAGCTGATTGCATATGAACAAGATTTCATTGTAGAACCATATGGAAACATCGAAAATTCAAGACTGTCATTTACATCTCACTCCATGATTTTCTTCAATTTTGATATGTTGTATGTTGGACCCTAGTAAACAAATACGATGAGTTACTAAAATATAAAAACTTCCACCAAAGCTCATCCTAGGGCATGCATGGTGAATTAAACTTGCACATCCTTCTCTCCTAGGCCATGCATGATGAATTAAACTTGCACATACTTGTCCTAATAAAGAGTTTACTTGGTGAACTTAGATCCACCACTTCTATGTTAGGATCAACCCGTTTGATATGCTAAGGACTTCCTAACCAGGAAATAGATTCCTAATCATCCCATTTTATTGACCCTGTGTTTTGTTTTTTAAGGCACCTATTATGCTAACAGTCAGTTTGCTCCAATATCTCAAAATAAATAAGACTCCATCTCGATATTCAAGTAAGTGTTCAACAAATACAGAAACAAATTTTGATAGAATTTTCAAATGGGCTGCTAACCCACGCTTTTCGGTGAAAAATATAATTTTTTATTTTTGTAAAATATTTTCCTTAAGCTCTAAGGAAAACTTTATAAGGTATTAGGAAGCGTTTTTACAGCTTTTTGAGCAATAAATGTATATTTAATATAATATTTAACATGAAAACTAAGAAAATAAGTCAAAAAACACAGTTGTGAGGCTCAAAACATTGCTAAAATGGGGTTGCATCCTCTAGAATATCAACAAAAGTCTAACTTTAATTTTCAAAATTTCACAGTGAGGCGAAGGTGAAATAATTACATTGAACTATGATTTATTTACAAATTTGCAAAACCAACTAAAAACCATGAGTGCTAACCCCCTTTTTTGGTGAAAATGTGAATTTTTTTATTTTCACGAAATATTTTCCGTGAGCTTTTAGGAAAGCTTTATAAGGCATTTGGAAGCAGTTTTACATTTTGAGCAATAAATGTATACTTAGTATAATATTTAAATCGAAAACCAAGAAAATATGTGAAAAATAGGGTCGTGAGTTAAACCCACGTTCTTTTGGTCAAAAATGAAATTTTTTATTTTTGCGAAATATTTTCCGCGAGCATTAAGGAAAACTTTATAAGGTGTTTGGAAGTGGTTTTATGATTTATTGAGCAACAAATGTATACTTAGTAGAATATTTAAGCTGAAAACTTAAAAAATAAGTGAAAAATACAATAGTGAGGACCAAAACATTGTCAAATGGAGTTCCACCCTCAAGAATCTCAACGGAAAGTCTTACCTTAATTTTCAAAATTTCACAGTGAGACAAAGGTGAAAACAAATGGATTGAACGATGATTTATGTATGAACTTGCAAAACCAACTAAAAATCGCGAGTGTTAACCCAATTATTTTTGGTCAAAAATGCAAATTTTTATTTTTGCGAAATATTTTTCGTGAGCATTAAGGAAAACTTTATAACATGTTTGGAAGCAGTTTTATGATTTATTGAGCAACAAATGTATACTTAGTAGAATATTTAAGCCGAAAACTGAAAAAATAAGTGAAAAACACAATAGTGAGCACCAAAACATTGTCAAATGGAGTTCCACCCTCAAGAATCTCAACGGAAAGTCTTACCTTAATTTTCAAAATTTTTACAAGGAGGCGAAGGTGAAAACAAATAGATTGAACGATGACTTATGTACGAATTTGTAAAACCGACTAAAAATCGTGAACACCCACGTTTTTTTTGGTAAAAAATGCAAATTTTTATTCTTGCGAAATATTTTCCACGAGCATTAAGGAAAACTTTATAACGTGTTTGGAAGCGGTTTTATGATTTATTGAGCAACAAATGTATACTTAGAAGAATATTTAAGCCGAAAACTAAAAAAATATGTGAAAAATACAATAGTGAGGACCAAAACATTGTCAAATGGGGTTCCACCCTCAAGAATCTCAATGGAAAGTCTCACCTTAATTTTCAAAACTTCACATTGAGGCGAAGCTAAAAATAAATAGATTGAACAGTGATTTATGTACGAATTTGCAAAACCGACTAAAAGTCGTGAGTGTTTGCACACATTTTTTTTGTCAAAAATGCAAATTTTTATTTTTGTGAAATATTTTCCATGGGCATTGAGGAAAACTTTATAAGGTGTTTGGAAGTGGGTTTATGATTTATTGAGCAACAAATGTATACTTAGTAGAATATTTAAGACGAAAACTTAAAAAATAAGTGAAAAATACAATAGTGATAACCAAAACATTGTCAAATGGGGTACTGACACACCACGACTGAAATCAAGGCGTGCTGGCTGGGAAGTTCTCGTGTGAGTTCCCAGAAACAAAACCGTGAGGGTGTGCTGGGGGCCCAAAGAGGACAATATCGTGCTATGGTGGAGTTGGGCCCGGGAAGTGGTCTCGCCCGGGCAGGGATGTGACAGGTTCCACCCTCAAGAATCTCAACAGAAAGTCTTACCTTAATTTTCAAAATTTCACGGTGAGACAAAGGTGAAAACAAATAGATTGAACGATAATTTATTTACGAATTTGTAAAACCGACTAAAAATCATGGGTATTAAACCACGTTTTATTGGTCAAAAACGAAATTTTTTATTTTCCCGAAATATTTTCCGTGAGCATGAAGGAAAAATTTATAACGTGTTTGGAAGCAGTTTTTGGATTTATTGAGCAACAAATGTATACTTAGTAGAATATTTAAGCTGAAAACTGAAAAAATAAGTGAAAAATACAATAGTGAGGACCAAAACATTGTCAAATGGGGTTCCACCCTCAAGAATTTCAATGGAAAGTCATACCTTAACTTCCAAAATTTCACGATGAGGGGGGAACAAATAGTATGAACGATGATTTATGTACGAATTTGTAAAACCGACTAAAATTTGTGAGTGTTAACCCACTTTTTTTGGTCAAAAATGAAATTTTTATTTTTGTAAATATTTTCCACAAGTATTAAGGAAAACTTTTTAAGGTGCTTGGAAGCAGTTTTATGATTTATTGAGCAACAAATGTATACTTAGTAGAATATTTAGGCTGAAAACTGAAAAAATAAGTGAAAATTACAATAGCAAGGACCAAAACATTGTCAAGTGGAGTTCCACCCTCAAGAACCTCTACGGAAAGTTTTCCCTTCATTTTCAAAACTTCACATAAAGGTGAAGGTGAAAATAAATAGATTAAATGGCGATTTTATGTACGAATTTGCAAAACGGACTAAAAACTGTGAGTGTTAACCCACGTTTTTTGGTCAAAAATGAAATTTTTTTTTTTAAGAAATATTTTCCACGAGCATTAAAGAAAACATTATAAGTTGTTTGGAAGCAGTTTTATGATTTGTTGAGTAACAAATGTGTACTTATTAGAATATTTAAGTCGAAAACCGAAAAAATAAGTGAAAAATATAATAGTGAATACCAAAACATTGTCAAATGGGGTTCCACCGTCAAGAATCACAACAGAAAGTCTTACCTTAATTTTCAAAATTTCACGATGAGGCGAAGGTAAGAACAAATAGTTTGAATGATGATTTATGTATGAATTTGTAAAACCGACTAAAAATCGTGAGTGTTAACCCACGTTTTTTTTTTGTTGAAAAAGAAAATTTGTATTTTTGTAAATATTTTCCGCAAGCATTAAGGAGAACTTTTTAATGTGTTTGGAAGTCGTTTTATGATTTATTGAGCAACAAATGTATGCTTAGTAGAATATTTAAGCCGAAAATTGAAAAAATAAGTGAAAAATACAATAGTGAGGACCAAAACATTGTCAAATGGGGTTCCACCCTCAAGAATCTCAATGAAAGGTCTCACCTTAATTTTCAAAACT